GAGAGAGAGAGAGAGAGAGAGAGAGAGAGAGAGAGAGAGAGAGAGAGAGAGAGAGAGAGAGAGAGAGAAAAATCAGTTAAAAAATGTGATAATTTAGGAAAAAGAATAAAATTGTCAAAAATGAGCTGGAACATGAGCTGGAATTTAGCAAAATAAACAAGAGACAAAAAATGTATTCAAAAATGAGTTCAATGCTAAAATACGAGCAAAAATGCCTGAACATCAAAAATGCATCAAAAATATTCCCAACTCAATATTTTGAATTAATTTTCGTCTCCCGAGCTCAAAAACCAACCTCGATACGCATCTACGCGCTGAATGGAAGCAATCTTGTGGAAATGGTCCAATTCGAGCCGCTTCTTAAATTCCAATTTGATGTGTCTGGTTTCACTGTTTTCGCTGTAAACCTTCAAAAGTTTGAAAATACGATTAAAATCCTTATCGGAATTGTAGCAGAGTATCAAAAAGTCTAAATTTTTAGCGCGTTGAAAGACGATTCCTTGGATGTTCGTTCCCTTGCAAGCGATTTGCTTAATTTGTGGATTGCGTCGCAAAAATCCGGCAAAATCGGCGCGATTCGTATTGGCTTCATCATAGTAAGCGATGCTCTCAAGTGTTGGGAAATGTTGTTGTGCCCAATTTACGCGACCGTTAAATTGAATCGGCTCATCAATTCCGAGATGCTTTAATTTCTGGCAGTGCTTCAAAAAACAGTCATAGATATCGCCAACGGAGCAGTTAACAAATTTGATACTTTCCAATCGTTCAAGTTGATCCTTAATTTGTGCGCCATGCGCTGCATTCAATTCGCAATGAATGCCATGCAATGCAATTTCCCGTAAATTCACACTGAAATTCTCTTTCAAGTATTTGACACAAGCGCTGCCTTTGTACTCATGTATGCTAACATTTCGAATGAATGGCTTGAGATCTTCGACATATTTTTCGTCAGGATACATGTAAAACACGGACCGTCGACGAAATGACTGGATGCGCACGTGATTGTTTGGATAATACCTTTGGAAGTAGTCGCCAGCGATACAATGAAGACGTTTACATGTCCGGCCCATCGAACACAAATCGTCCAGAGGCAATAAATTGCAAATGGAATCGATGCAATCGTCATTAATGTCCAAAAAATGCGTATTGCTCACCGCTGGCGGTGGTGCTATTTCGTCCAATCGTGGACTCTTCGGCGGTATTGGCCCATTATTTAAATCCAACGACTGAGATCCACTTGGCGACGACGATGACGACGAATCAGACACATTCTGTTTTGATCGTTTGCGCCTCAATGGTCTCATTACAACGCGAACAACGAGTAATTTTCGACTGTCTCTTTGCAATAAATACTAAACTATGTGATTTTAACACCAAATACTGGACGGAATTATTGAAATAATTACAAATAAGATGAAAAATCACACAAAAAGCAGCACACTCAATGTGCCGCACAAACTAAATTAGTTTGTTTTTGATGTTTGTCACGACTCTTTGTGTTTGTGACTGACACTTGGACAGCTCCGAATTTCCAGTGGTGACATTTCAATTGCAACTGGAAAACGTGGTGAGTTCCGCACCGGCACTTTCTCTATATACGATTGAATTTCATATGAAGTGTCAGCGCGGAATTTAATTTAGTTTTTTTTCTTTAGATTATTTTCGGTTTGAAAAAGACTTTTCTTTAATTTTTTAAATTTTTTTCTACTTCGGTTTTTTCCTATCAAGAATATTCGGTACAAATGAGCGATTGAGGTGGAGACGCACGACTTTTTTTCTATGAATATTCAAGCATTCACTGAAGCTCAGCCGTCAATGACATCGGTCGAAGTCTTCGACTCAAAGAATCAATCGACTGATGTAAATTCCGCATCGCACCAAATATTTCTCTGAGAGACAACGAAAAATGTACTTAGGCACCAGTTGACAAACAACAGTAATTAAGTGGAAGAATAAACAAGCGGAATGTACGTTTTTCGGTGCAGATTTGCCTCTTATTGTTGTGAGCTTCTATGGCAAGACAAAGAACAGAAGATTTACGTTTTATTTGTCTATTTTATAAACTAAGGCAAATGATAAAGTGTGTTTTTTAAACAAATAGAAAATATGGACATTTTTTTAAGCTCAATTGATATGTTAATGAGAAGAGAAAAAAAAGGTCAATAAATAATAGCAAAAATATATCGCATACGTTCATCAGGTGTTAATCTGGAGATAATCCGTTTATGATCCATTGCTAATGCATTGATAATATCTGCACACTTATCATATACCTAAATAATTCATGGTGCATCGCCAAATAACCTAAATGATTCACCGTACAATTTCAATTAAATGTTTGAAATCCAGCCAAAGTTAAGCCTTGATGTTTACCTTCTCAAAGAATTCTCTACAAAGATTTACTTAGATTTTCTTATGTTTGTTCCCGTCGAGACTCATGCATAATTATCGACGCCAAAACAACAGTAGCATGATTGGTTCTCGATATTTCCATGTAATTCTCGTTGCATTTACATCGTTTTGCAGAAATTCATTTGTGGCACAGGATGGGACATAAATAGCTCACGTACATTCCATCAAACATTCAGTCATTCGGTTATCGTTCAAAGCATTACATCTACGAATAGGCGATACACAAAGAAGCAAAAGGTTAGTGTTTGAGTTCAGTGTTCAAAGAACAAACGAAAACAATTGAGCGATTGGTTGACATTTGTTTGGGAGATTGAGAGAGAGAGAGATATTGAAATTAGTTGACGTTTTTATCATTTCTGTTTACAAGTAAAGTATGTTGCCTTCAAACTGTGGTCGTTAGAACATTTACCTTTTTAGTGGATTGAAATATTCGTTTTTCGCTTCTATTTCTTTTTTCTGTTGTTTTTCAATCAAGCGTTGTTTTGGTTAAAGTGTTTTTTGCTAAAAATTCTGATCAAAGCATGTGAAGATGCATATCAAAGCTGTAATATCGGTGCCAAATTTGATAATATCTTTATTTTTCCTCATTCAAAATGCGATCTGAGTAGTTGAACATCTTCTGAGGGAAGAAATGTTTTTTTTTTCTCGTTCAAAGAATATTATTACGTTACAAATCTGAAAAGGAAGCTAAAAAAAGTTTGATGAAGAATCCGTGAAATTGTTATTTTTGTCAATTGAAAGTGGCATTATTCAATGATTTTGTCACGAATAACATACCAGTCATTCTTCAATATTGCTATTTTATCACAATCCATTTGTGGCTATGAGTTTATTTGAATAAAAATCTTCGACTCGATTGATGGAAATCATGTCAAATGCCATCATGAATTATGTTTACATTTTTTTTTCAACTAAATAATTCTAGAAACAAAACAAAAATCACAAATAATTTTAAGAACCTAACAAAAATGAATAGAAAACTATCAAAACAATATTTTATCACATCAAGTTCATAAAAATTAATCCAACACTATTTTCTTCACTTTCAACAGAATTTAAGGAAGCAATGGATTTAAGTGTGCAGAAACCGGCAACAATCTCACCCATTCGACATGGTCGAAAGGCGGCAATAATGCGTAAATTTCTGATCGATGAGACGGAACGAAAAAAAATATCAGCGGTCGACTCAAAGAGTGAATCGTTACCTGATCTCTCCTTCTCTTGTTTCAGCGATTCGAGTGCGTCTGACGATGTGATATTAGTAGAGAATCGTCGCGACGTCGACGTGATTAGTATCAAAGAGAGCGAAGTGATGTCAAGCGAAGAAGAAGTCTATCATAAAAGCCCCGTTAAAACGAGTGCAGAAGTGGCGAGCTTTGATAAAAGTTATGATACAATGAATAAAATCAAATATAGAGATTACAAATGCTCAACGTGCAAATATACCACGACCGAAAAAAGGCTGTTAAAAACTCACATGCTATTGCATGAATTGGGAAAACATGAAATCACAAGTGATACGCTCGTCCATACGTGTGAACACAAACAAATGCCATGCTATCTCTGCAATTTGCCAAAAATCACTGTAAAAATAGACATTAAGCCCAATCCATTGCTTTCGGCAAACAATTCGCTTGAGTGTCAGGTGTGTTATCGGAAAATTCTCAAGAAAAGTGGCATGAATAAACATTTACAAGCTCATGTCGATCAACTTAAAAAGCAATCGGCTCTATTGGGCAAAAAAGAGAAGAATTTCAATCAGAAAAATCAACGTAAGATCCTACTTTCTTTTCATTTTTCATTGATTCCATCACTTTGTTTGTCATTGTTCCTCACTAATTTCATTTCTATCTTTTGTGATTTTCTTTCTCTTAGGTATTCTACAATTGGTTGCCATTGGTAAAAAATTTCCATTCGAATGTTCAAAGTGTGAACTACCATTTGCCGAAGAATACGATAAAAGAGCACACGAAGAACTCTGCCGGCGACGACAATACAAACATTTGTGGAATTTTTCCGATGTAAAAATCAACAAACGGAAAATTTTAAACACCAAAGATGTGAAGGCGGAAAACACCATGGAATTAAAAACGCGAGAGGGACTGGAGTTGGAAGTGAAAATCATCGATGCAAAGGAAGAGAAATTGATTGATATAAACATGGAATGCCAGGATAGTCCAGCAGAAGCTCCGTGGCGACCGTGGGCGTAGAAAGTTTTTAAGGAATTTATGAGATACGTATAATAATAATATTATTTTTGAGATATTTCTTCATCTATTTTTATAATTTCAAGTGTAAGCATAACTTATTCAAATCCATTCGATTCATTCAATAAATTACAAGCTGCTTAGTTTTAAGGAAATAAACAAGAAAATGTAGATAAAATGAAGCAATACGTTTTAATTTTTTGAAAATCAGTAATAATAACGATTTGATAAATAAAAAGGTCGAGTTCAATAAGACTTTGTTAGTACGAGTATCTTCAATTCAATCTCAATCGTGTAAATATTGTATTGTATTGAGCAATTTAGCCTGAATTTAAACGGAATTCAATTATTCCATTTCGAAAAGTATCAATAAAATTTCAGTAGTTGATGATGTCAATTAATAATCAACCTCAATTTTTCATTCACCTCCGTGATGCAAGAATCGTTAAAAATATTTTCAATCGTCGGTTCATCCTCAATATTTGCCTCGAAATGCTTTAATTGGTGAGTGATTACATTGAATTGAATCAAATTCAATTGAATTAACAGACTCATGCGACGTTGACACGATTTACGTGTTTTTCCAAGGCCAAATACATACGGTGTTCATTCTAATGGGAATTTCGGAACTTGACATTTACAATTACAATCAGTGTTATTGCTTTTTTTTTCGTTAACTCGACTTTTTTTCGAGTATTTGATTGCTTCAAATCGTATTGTTTCTACCTTGGCGATAGTGTTTCAGATTACCCAATGCAATTATCTCAGCAAACTCAATGCAATGAACATCGTATGAGTGCATAAATGATGGTGAAAGAAAAAAAGCGCCCTGTATTGAACATATAGTTCAGTAAAACAACGAGTTTTTTTTTTAAATTGGCTTTATTTAAATTTATATTTATTTAACATTCAATCTATGCATAAAACAAGCACTTTCTCTAGGGGGAGTATGTGTAAGTTGACCCACTTTGTAAGTTGACCCACCCCGCCGATTTTGTATTTTGACCGACAAATCGTCAATTTGGCTAGTCTCAATCGATTTAGAAACGTCCAAAACCAATATAAAAGTAGTTTCCAAGAGTGAATACGCTTCTTAAACGGCTTGAATCGGCTCATGAAAAAATTTTGCAAAAAAAAAATTATTTTTATAAAAACTAAATGTTTTCGGACCATCATCAAGTAGACAATTTCAAAGATATCAGCAAAGAGAGTATAAGCTTTTTTTACTAGTTTTTCGTGTATTTTCATAATCCTAAGTCATTTCACACATATCGTTACATGGCGAAATTCTTTCCGTGCATATTGAAACGCGACCAATTTTGTAAGTTGACCCACCCGAAAAAAAATCAGAAAAATGAGACAACCATTCAGCGTAAACACTCAATATACGAGATTCATTGAATTTTAATGAATTTCCAACCGTTTTTGTACTTGAAAAACACGAAACAAATCGATGAAATATGAAAAAATAGAGAATATGTATTTTTTTACTATTTCTATATTTTTCTACATTTTTTCATTGTTTTTCGTAGTTGTAAAGACCGAAAACGATTGAAAATCCAACGAAATTCAAACAAAAAAAAAATAGGGTGGGTCAACTTACAAAGAAAAAATTTTGTTGCCAAAAATCAGACCTCTTAGAAAATTGACCGAAATGTTTTGTTTTTATAACCAAAGCTAATGAATTTCCTGACCAAACTGTAGCGTTTTGGGCTCTCTTTCCAATGGTATATCAAGTGTGCATTTATCTTTATTCGATAAAAAGTTATGACTAAAATGATTAGTGCGGGTCAACCTACACATAATTCCCCTACAAGTTGTTTGAGTTTGGTTATGATAATTGAAAATGATTGTTTTGAATGAATAATATATTAATTATGTTGAAATCTTTCAATACCTCTTCCATGACTCAATGCGTTTTATTTCAATCAAATCGTGATTGACGTACAGATTTTTTGTTTCCATTTTTGTCAATAACAAAGTATATTCTCGGAGATGAATGGTAACTTTGCATGCATTAGCTAACTTTTTACGTTCCTCGTTCAATGTTGACAGATCGAAATAAAATCCATTTGGTGGATTACAGCATTGAACATGAAGTTCCTTCAATTTCGGTAATCGTCGAATTTGTTCCATTGATGCTTGATGCAAATAAACTTGGCGTAGATTTGGAAATGACAATGTGATAGCTTCGAAATCAATGTCATCCGATGTGGGATTTGAAATTCTTAGTTCTTTGAGACTGAGAATCGTCGGAAAATCAATTTTTTTTCTCAAAAAAGCCGTTCAACTATGCAAGTCCAGGCAATGCAGCGATTCGGTTGATTTCAGCTTGATAACGTATTGAAATCATGCCACACCTAAATTCCAATCGCTAATAAAAACTATTGTCATAAAGTTTATTTAACAAATTGCAAAACTTTCTCAAAAGGGTGGTACTTAAAGTGAATCTTCAGAACATCTAATTCCAGCTTGGAATTGATGAATGCGTGAATTCGCTGTGATCCAAAAGAAACCAATGGTCGGTTTCGAAGCTTTGAAGATGTGTATTTTGAGGTCGTTTGCATGTTTGACCGAGTGAATACAGATCTTCGAGTGAGAGTCACTCGAATAAATCGTCACAGCAAATGGTATTCAGCTTGAAAATGGCCGACGGCTGCTCCTGGTTTTTACTATCCACAGCAGCAGCGAATTTACTTCGATCGTTTGGTTTCTGTCGCTTGGATTTCTTGTTGATTTTGCCATTGTTTGTACGCTTGCTCATCCTGATTTTTGTTGACTTTCTTTCAAGATTAATAATAATAAATGAATAAATAGTTCCTTTGTTCAATCTTCCTTTTATTCTTCTCTTTACTTTGTTTCTTTTCTTTCAAATAGACTTTTTTTGGCACTTGTAAACATTTCCTTCAGTCAAAAATTGAAATTTTATTATGAAAATTTATTATTGAACAAAATATAAATAAATACTAGAAACTAAAATTGAATAGATGCAAGATAAACCGTACGTTATGCCTTTACTTCACGTATAAGTAGACATAGATGGCATCAAGCTTTATATGCATTAGTTTTACTCTGAAGTTGATCCCATGAGGCTCAGGTAACATTCTAAATTTAGTTTCATTCGCCTCCGCGAGAATGGGTAGACACTGTACTGAATTGGTTTTTGACCGTTGATTCATCAGCAATATCTGTCACAAAACGATACTAAATTTAAGGAGTGTAAATTGATGAAGAAGAAGAGAAAAGCATGTAAGCAGCAGGTTGAATGAGTATGTTCAGTTGTTCAGTGTTCACTCTCTTTTCAGTTCTCATTCCATTTTTCAGAAGTATTTGCGAAGTTATACTGTTCCACCGAAAAAAGAAGAACAAAAATACAAGGATAAATGTATTAAAAGTCAAAGAAAAGAAAGTGGCGGAGAAGGAAGAAGAAAAGCCAATGAAATGAAAAAATGAGTAAAGTATGCAAGAAAAAAATTTCCTTGAACAAAAGCCCTTCAAAAATACCCAAATTCGTTAAATTGAGCCAATGCGGATTATCTTTTCCCAGACATGCCGTCGCAGACAGCAAACAAGATCGAATAACAGGAATATAGTCTCGGTTGCTGGTGTTACAGACACAGGCCAGTATCCAGCCGCAATAAAACGTATCATAAAACCAATCCTCGAAAATTCCCAAATTCCACGGAAAAACAACTCGTCATTACCTTTGTCTGTTGCTTTGCATCTAGCTTTGTATACAGGCATTCCTTTTCTTTCGACTTCAGTCTTGCGCTCGATCTCGTGGTATAAACATCAAAATTTGTGCAAAATTTATTCAAACCAAGAACAAATTTCAGTTTTGAATTGTTTCACAATCACGTCCATTGTGCAAAAATAGATTTTTATCGCATCAATTTGTTGAATTGCAAAATTGTCAACTCGTTGAAATAATCTCTCAAAAAAGTGCCTTTTGACGAAACAGAAAAAAAGAAGTAAATTGATTATTGGAAGACATTTTTTTAATGGAAAAAATTTAGGAAAATACTTGTTCGTCAACATTTTGTATTTCCCACTTTTAGTTTTAGGCTCTTTTTTTATTTGTCACAAAAACTCTAATTAATTGCTATTAAATGTTCATTTTTTAGGTTCAATTGATGTCACGAATACTATTTTCGCCGAGTTCTGAACTGATTCAAATAAAATACGTTCGATTTGAAGCAAAACTTTTCACTGTAGTCTATTGGATGAAAAAAGAATCAACAGCAATTGACAAGAAGAAAAGAACGATAAATAAATTGAGCGACGAGAACAGAAGAAGAAGAAAATCGAAATTGATAGAAATCTGAATGCAAATCCAAAATGTTCGGTCTTTATTTGGATTGTAAAAACACGTTGTCGCAACGCATTGGTGAAAAATTGTACTTAAACTCATTATTGTCCGATGTGAACTTCGTGTTTACCACCAAATCCGGTGATGTCGAAGAAGTGCCTGGCCACAAGTTGTTGCTAGCCACCGGAAGTTCGGTGTTTTACGATACGTTCTACGGATATTTAAGGCGTGAAGATGACGATATACCCATTTGTGATGCATCAATCGGAGCGTTTCGTGAATTTTTGCAATTTTTCTACTTGGATGAAGTTCGCCTAACGCTCAAGCACATCGTGGAAGTGACCAATTTGTGCAAAAAATTCAAATTAACCGAATGTATAACAGCTTGCACCGACTCACTGCAACATTCATTGACCATCGACGACGTTTGCTGGGGCTATGGAATCGCCTTATCGCTCAAGCAACAAAGCTTCGTGAAATTTTGCGAAGAAAAACTCAAAGAAACCACCGTTGAAATATTCGAATCGGAAAGTTTTCTGGAATGTGATTATGAGCTATTGGTGAAAATAATCATTTTGGTTTCATCCGAATGCACTGCCTTCGAAATGATCAACGCCTGCATGAAATGGGCCAAAGCTCAGTGTAAACGAATCAATGTGTTGAGAACGCCAAAAAATATGCGCGGTTCATTGGGCAATTTATTCGATAAAATTCCATTTGAAAAACTGACATTGGAGCAATTGTCACAGTTTACGTGTTCATACAAGAAGATTTTCACGGGCAAAGAGCTGCAAACAATCACCAAGAAAATTATGATGAAACATTTGGCCGAACAAACGAACGATCGACTGGATGATGGACATTTGCCGCAAGAGCACATTTTGGACTGCGATCGATGTTTGCCCGGTGAACTGATTCCCATGCAAAATTCCGGCGGCGATATATTCACGGCATTTTCGTCGAATAAACAAATCGTACTGAAGGAGTTTTACGCTAAACTACATGGAATGGCCAAATTTAATGGGAAAATCCCTTACGATATCAATGTCAAGCAATTTAATCATGCGGAAAAAATTGTAACGGGCCTAGCGACTATTTCAAAAGGAAGTGATCAAATTCATATTGTTCTGCCTCAACCATTGACTATCGACGCTGCGAAAATCCATTTTGTCAATATTTATACATGGAACGTGGATTGCATTGAAGATTTGAATGAAATACATTGGCAACCACTGTTGAAACATAAAATACAGAGAGAAGATATTGAGATTACATTCAAGACAAACGTTCGATTTGATTGTGATACAATTTCTCGTATTGTTTTTGTTCGGCCGAGTATTGATGTTTTTGATGAAAGAGATTGGATTATTATAAACTCACCACAAAACGAATCGATCGAAATTTCTGAAGATGAAGAAACCGTTAGTCGATGAAACGTTTTTCTTAGCAATAAAATTGTAGTTGAAGAAAATGGAACTGAAAAATTGAACGAAGTTTCATTGAAAATTTGCAATGAATTGAATATTCACATTTTTTTTTATAGACATTTAATTTACTAACTAAAATGTTCCTTTTTCGATAGGAATTCAATTTTTTAATATTTCTCTTCATTTTTTGAATGATAGTTCAATGGAATAATCAATTAGGAGGAATTTTGGAATTTAACTCTTTTGCTAATAAAATTATCGCTATTTTCCTATGGAATTTTCTTAGTTTATAAGAAGTATTTTTAATCGGAGAGACAAAATAAAACCCATGCCAATATACATTTAAAACAATCGTTTTTCTCCTTTCATTTGTTGAAATAATTGTTTTCCTTAATTGAAAAAAATACAAACACGCTAGGACGACACAGTGTATCTGTGTAAGAAATCAAGCGTTCAACTGTATGAAAGTTAAACTGAAGAAAATGACTTTTTCGAGTATGTGTTTGTATTTCCAACTTCGCAAAAGAACAGAGAGCTCGAGCAAAGAGCATACAAATGTTCAGTTCTATTTATTTGTTACAGTTAGTATTTTCAAAGAAGGATGTCAAAGCAACTTAGAAGGGATTAGAGAGATTTGGATGAGTCATAAAGCTATTACTTTTTCGCACAGATCGTATGGTGTGTATAAAAGTATTTAGTTCTCGTTATTTCCTTGAAACAAAGAAAATTACGGGTTGTCCATGTATTTGATCTGTTTTTGGTTGAGAGTATGAGTACAAGTAAGGAAATCGTAATAAACCGTTATTCCCTGTTTGGTTTAAGAGAAGAAGAGAAGACGAACAAAAGAACGATTCTAGATCAGGAAATGGTTTCGAATGACTTCAGGTTGATGTGTATTAAAACAATAGCGTCTTGGGGAAATGAAAATCTGCAGCTAAACTCAGAGTGACACAACTACACGACAGGTAGATGTACAAACATGTACTAATTAGTAACACAAGTACCTGGGAATTTATTTCGTAATTCCAAATGAACTGCTATCTCAACAGGTTGGTTTCTGCTTTTTGTATTTTTTTTTGCAAATATTTGGCTTGTTGAGCCGTTCAGTATTCTCTCCAGCTACAGAAATTTGATCAAAAGTCGGATGCATCTTTTTTGTCTATCTAAACCAATTTTCGTTCGAATATACTTATTTTGAATGAAATCTCATAAATAATGTTTGGCTCCATTACACGTCATGCATATTGTCTATTCAATTATATTGTCATTTCGAACGGCGGAGATTATTTGGTTTGAGAAAGATTTCCAGTGAGAATCTGCTCATCACTTTGAATAATGTGTATGTTTTGTTTTGTTGCATACTAATAAATTAAAATTCTGACGGGTAAAATAAAGAACGTCATCAACGGAAGTGAAACTTTTTTGTTGGTGAGATTTTTTGCCATAAAAGCATAGTCTTTCTTTCTTTGTCTTCCTCCACCATTATTCAATATTGATCCAATCAAAAAGAATTGCTATTTTTCTCATTATTCCAAAATCAAGTTCAATATCCATTATTACTTTTTTCATATTTCAACAGAATGCGATCCGAAGTATCAAAATGTTGCTGCGATTCACAGAAGATGTTCAATGTTCATCCAAACCAAGTAACAATCGATCGGCCAACCGCAATCGATTGTTTCATCTCCGATTCATCTGGCCCAGCTGCTACCTCAGGCTCAACCACTTCATTAGCACAAGTTGGACACTATTTAAGCATTAATGAACTCGCGGGTAATGAAATACCGAAGCCACAGCCACAAAAACCGGTCATAAAAGAGACTTATCTCAATCAGCTGACCAGCCACAGCTATCGAAACGTCCAACAACTGGTCATGCTGGACCGTCGAAATGATGAAAAAAAGTCGAAGGCAGCAATCTTTTCAGATCACCAAGCTATGATTACTAAGCAAACAATGATGAAATCAAATTCCTATTTGGATGAATAAATAGAATGGATTCATTTTGAAGCGATCTTGAGTATCTCAAATGCGTCTGTTTTTTTTTCTTCATTTTTCAAGAAATTTTGCATTCACATACTTTGTGTTCTATACAAACTAAAACGGTTGGTGACTGTTTGTGTACAATTTTGATATCTTTCGATACCGATACTTCTGCGTGAAACAATGAGACTGAGCAGCGTATTCTTATCGTTTGTTTATTTCACCGTAAAAATGAACACGATCTTATCTTTTATATACCTGTTGTTATGTGTTCTGCTGTTGTTGCGTTGCATCCAAAACGAAAGATTGATAAGAAGACGCGGTTACGCGTGCACCTTGGTATGACAAACGTTTGATGGATCGATGGTTGATACTTTCAAAAGTGTAGTTGAACCACACTCCATAGTTCCGTGTGATAGAGTTGTGATCGAGCCAATGGAGACCGCAACTGACAGAGATAAATCAGGTCGTGAAATAATTATCAAATCTGTGCAATCACTTCACGGCAATATGTTTTTATAGAAACTGAAGAGTTATAATTACATTCCGAACTCGTGCTTTATCACCATCCGAATCGTCTTATGGTATCGATTGCGAAGTAATTTACTAATCGTAAACCAAGTCGAAATTCTGTTATCTTGCCAAAATAGAAGAAAAAAGCACAATCGAATTGCGATAATGGAAATACCCGTACAGTTTAGTAGAGACGCAACTCAGTGTGCTGTGTGTCGTCTTTTGACTATTTTATACTTCAATCCGAATTATCACATCAGTTTTACTTTTTAAAAGTGGCGTGAAGACGTTGTTTAGATAAACCCCGATTTTTTCCCGTCAAAAAGTGATTTTGATCGTGGAAAATTGTTCCAGTTATTTGTTAACTAGTAAAAGGTTGTGCCAGTTGAACGAAATATCACACTTCATTGTTTTTTCCAAACTAGTTTGATACTTTTTCTACAACTCCAACTTTTAATTCAATTGAATTCAGTTCAGAGCTGCGTGGACCGTTGTTTCATCCCTCAATTTTGTCGGCAGTGACAGTGCTTTTGCATAATTTTGCCAATGAACCCGAATTTTTCAATCAAATTCGTTTCATCGTGTAAAAATAAGCGCGAGTCTTAACTAGGTCAATATGAGCTTAGTGAAACTGTGTTTATTCGTTTTTTGTGGTGAGTAATGTGGATCAGAAACATTTTTAGATTCGTTATTTGTGTATTTTTCGAAGAATTCAAGTGATGATGTGGATTCACGTAGTAACATGCATATGCTCTTGAAATAACAACGATATTTTGTCGTTTTCAATTATTCATCAAACAATTCACGTCAAGTACAGACCAATTGAAAACAAGTGTCAAAATTGATTAATTTTATAAGAATTGTAAATTGTCATCGAAATTGCACTGTGTAAAAAAAGCTTCATAAACAAGTGCCAAATGAACTGATTAGGCTAAAACATTTTTCAGGATTCTTTCAAAGTGTAGATTGAACCAAAGCGTTCAAAAACATTAACTCAACTCAACAAGTGAATGATTCAACTCCCATTTTTCAGTGTGTGCAATTCAGTGCGGCGAATCAAAGTATTCTCCGCAGTTTGAGAAGAATGGCGTGAATGCGGATTTCCGTATTATTGGCGGCAAGCCGGCGAAAGCTGGTGAATTTCGTGGACAAGTGAGTTTGAATCTCCCTATTCTATGCATTGAATTTTCGTTCACCTTTCGTTCCTCGTGAAGAGATTGGTATTTTATTGCGTATTTTATTTAAGGTATCGCTTCAAAATCGCTTCTATGCGCACATTTGTGCTGGAACATTGATTGATCCATTTCACATTGTGACGGCGGCGCATTGTCATCAAAGACAGAAACCGATTGTAAGTTGTGAAACAACGGAAACATCCATTTCTTTGCACATGTATTGCGTTCTCTTTAGCAATTGTTTTCACATTTGGAACATTTAATATGTGTTCAAATCGAAAGTTTGACTCAAGTAATAAAACGAATTCAGGGTTACGTGATGGGTGATGATTTGACGGTGACGTTGCATGGAAATGAGACGCGACAACGAAGAAAAATCGTGCATTTCGTTCCACATCCAGAATTTTCGAGGGAAACATTTCAAAATGATATTGCTGTCATTCGTGTAGGTTTTGATTTTGCGTTTCCTTTATAATTTTAGGTTAAAATTTTCATTCTCTTGTTTGTTTTTTAATTTTTTCTACTTTTTTTCCCTTCACAATATGAACTTATTTGTAATCTGTCCACTATGAACAGAATGATTTTCTTTTCTTTTTTTTTTTGTGGAACCAAATCTGTGCCATTGACGCGGAAATAATTTTATTTCTTGATTTATTTGAACAATCTCTTTTCGATTGAGTCAATTGATTGGATTAGTTTATCAGAAGAGTAGTTGTTTGTCGAAAATTTATGATATCTTTCGGTGATTTGTACTAATTTGTGCATGTGTTTTTGGTTGACGTCAGCACTGATCCATGTTATTCAATAACAAAAGTGGAAGAAATCATCGTAAACCTTATCAGCAGATAATCGGCAGATAACGCACAACACAAAACGCTAGTGACCTTGAAAGTGAAAATAGAACAAATTTTCTATGGAAAAGTTTTTCGATGTGCAACATAAGACAGAAATTGGTCGAATTTTAGTTTGGTTTTTATTCAGTTTGTTTTGTATCCAAAAGTTTCAGAACCAAATACATTCGTGCTGGTGGTTTTTCTTTACACTTTTGTTCATTTTCAGCGAAATGACTGGCCCAAATTTTCAATTGAAATTTTTTGTATTGGAGTCGAAAATGAATTGTTTCCGAATTTGATTTTTAATCCATTTACAATTTGTGTTTCATTTGTATAATAGGTCGATGAACCATTTAAAGTGACTGAAACATTTGGTCCGATGCATCGTTCGAATAGTACACCGACGAAGGGCATTCGCTGTACAGTCGTCGGCTGGGGATACACATCAAATGTAAGCATTTTATCTTTATCGTTCTTTTGTCTCAAGAAATCAACAATTCATTTATGATTTGTACGCCCATCGCAAGCGCAGAATCATGAACAGGTTTCATAGTGAAGAAATATTTGACTTTTTGAATCACAGATTCTGACGAAAGGTTAACAAATAAAGATGAATATTATGATCTAACCCTGATTTCTATTCCAATTTAAAAACCAGAGTGAAGACAGCGATATCTCTTACAATTTACTGAAAACCGATGTTTTTGTTATCGACATCAACTTCTGCAACAGTTCATTCTCGTATGAAGGCGCCATGAAACCGGGCATGTTCTGTGCCGGAAGAACGAAAGGAGGTAAGTGTGAACGCAGTTAAAACCAATATCTAATTCAAACTAACGAGTTTAATTCTTGTTTCATCATTTCTACGAAATTTACTTTGCGACAAAAACAGGTGGCCATGATGCATGTCAGGTAATTTCATTTAAATCTGCAATTTCATCTGTTGAAAGCCAAATTTATGAATTGGATAAAAGTATTTTGAATTGAATTTTTGAGTGCATGATTTTGTACGGAATTCCGTTTCCATACAAAGAGCGCGTCTTTTGTATGGAAACTTTTAACGAAATTGAAAAATTGAAAAACTTGTGTCTCGTACGTTCATTAGCAATATTTATCTGCTTTCAGGGTGACTCAGGTGGTCTTTTAACCTGCGCTCCGCGAACACTATCCGGTGTTATTTCGTTCGGAAATGAGTGTGGTTTGCCTAATTTTCCAGGTAAACAATTATATTTTTTTCATTTTTTGTCCTGTATATTATACAAGTTGTATAATACAACTTACATACTATCAGCACATTATTGACTTCAATTTGTCCATCCAGGGATTTACTCAGACGTTTCAATGTACAAAGACTGGATCGATAAGATTTTGATAACGAAAGATTTGCCAGAATATGAATTTTCGCCATTCCCAAAACCACATTTAGTATACGAAATGAATAAAGGAAACAGTGCCGCGACGTCCAGTGTTACTACCGCAGTTGCGATACTTTCTGTGATTTTAGCGATTTTATCACATTGAACTTCAAATAATTTAGGCAATTTTTTTTACAGTGCACATTGAAATTACCTGGACAACTTTTATATATTAAAAACGATTTAGAAAAAAAAAAACAAATCTAGTTTTAAGTGAATTTTGATTCAACAAACTGACATTTGAGTTTATGGTCTGTTTTGCCACCTTTTCCACACAAAAATTCAGAAAAATATATAATCGAAAAGTCATCGACATTATGTTAACATTATTTTCTTTTGTAATTCATTTCATTGATCCCATTCCCTATCATTCAACTATTATTTTCTCATCATAAAGATTGGACGGCTAGCAACAATCGATGGCATTTTTTTTTACCATATTTCAAGTCACAAATCTTGAATCGGTTACAAAAATTATTTTTGAAGTCACAAATATTGACTCTTTTTTTTCATTGGCTTATCAACATGAATTGATTCAAAAAACTTGTGATTATCACTGCCGTTGACTACCTGTCAGGTACCTGAGACTCGTTAATATTTTGTGGTTCAACAACAAATCTCTGTTTGAACCAAAATTGTTTTGGCTGATAAGATTTCGAATAAGTGATTGTAATCAATTGTCAATACGACGGTAACAAGTTATTTCAATTGCCTCAACAACGATTAATTCAAAACTTGTTTTTGTTGTTATATTTTTCTAATCAATACTTGGATCGTCCGTAGATTTTATATTGGATAAGGCGTGATTTTGTCATAGAAAACGGTTGCTTCAGAAATTCTCCAAAAAATGAAAAAAACCCGCCAAAATTTTCATAAAATCGTCCAAAAAATATTACAAAAAATCCCATAATTGTTGGACGATTTTCTCTTATTTTGGGCTATTTCGAAAAAAATATTATAAGAACGTCCAAATCTGTTTTCGTCTCCTATTTTGAAACTCGAATTTTGCCAAAAATATTTTGAAATTCGTCCGAAACATTGCGAAAATCTCCCAAATTTCTCAAAAATTGAATTTCACGAAAAAAGCCTACCTTTTCTCCACAGAGAGTCAAGAAACAAATGGTAAATAGAAAGAATTGTATGGTTTTAAATTGATTTGACTTTTTTTTTTAAATTCCGTAGTTCAATTGAAATAAATTGTGCAAATGAATATACAACACAAAACACAGAAAATTTGCAAATTAATTTTAATTAAATATTACTGTTTTAATGATAAATAGGTCAATTTGTAGGTAGTTGCAATTGCTCTCGATCTTGCCTGACCGATTTTTGATATTTGATCCGGTTTCATAGTCACACACCACTGAAAACGACTTCAAAATTTTACATAATGAACTTTTGCTGAGTGATTTTTCTTCACTGTTTTTTTGCCGTTCTTGGAATTGGTTGAAGCTGTTTCTACGTGTTGTCCATTTTCAAGAAACAATGTCTAAATCCTGCGAGGATGCTCTTAGAGCTCGTCCATCAACAGCCGACCATAAAAAATTGTTTGAGCTTTTTGCAAACAAAATCTTGAACAAATGTATTTGTAATGTATTTTATTAGAGGTGAAAGTTTTTGTTTATATACAATATTTATAAAGCTTTCATTTTATGAGTTTCAGTCTTGTGACCTTTTAGCGCCACCCATTGCACCACACTAACAAAACAAAGTAAAACACGAATTTGCGATGAGCGCATTCAGTGAAGTTCAGTTCAATTCTTTACGTCGTTAGACGCACCCATGAACACGACAAATAAGAAAAGGAAAACGACAATGCCAATGAAGACATATACCATCAAATCTAATGACATCTCAAATGCATTCGATGTGCCTGAAGTAAAAAAGTATGGAGTAATATCTCAAATTTGAAAGAAAAATCTATTGAAAATACCTAAAAACATGAAGAAAGTGCCAGTGTTGAGGTTTTGGTGTCTTTCAAACTCTTCACGTAAAACACAAAAAACTACATTCAAAATTCACATTTTTCATGTTACGCTTCTATTGCAGCGACGATTCATGTTGCGCTTAAGTTTAAGCAGATTTTAAAATGTAACCAAACAAATGTCAAAACGCATGGAGACTGTAGGAGATGGAAGGAAGTGGAGAGTGTAGCATGAACGTGTGGAGAATGAATGTATAATAATTATAAATTGTTTTGTTCATTTTCTGAAGAACTTCAAGAATAAACAATTATTCTATTTCTTCTATGGTTTTTTATCTATTCTTTTTATTTTTTTTACGCTCAATTCTTTGAATTTAATTGGTTTTTACTTTTGACAAACATCAAATGTTGGTAAACATTGTTCGTGTTCGCTACTTCAGATGGCGCCTGACGATGGAGACTCACGCCTAAAATACATAGGATTAAATGGACTGCATACCAAAGTCGCCTGGGAGTGAAAGAGAATTGAAGTAGTTCAATTTCATTTAAACCACCATTTTTGGCTAATTTTGATTAAAATTGACATATTTAATGGATAATTTGGTCGAGTAATCTGTATAATTGTGTTGTTGTAATTTGATAGTTCGAACTCCCACCGCTTACGTGTACAATGCAAATCAAATGTGTTTCAGTGTGGCGCTAGTAGCATGTAATTTGCCTTAGACGAAGCTCTCGAATTTAGTTAAAAGATTGCGAATTAAATGAAAATACTTTGATTGAATGAAATTGATTTTTTTTTGAATTTACTGATCAACAATGCAATTTCTTGAGCTAATAAATTGTTGCTCAGCCTTCAAAATCAGACGATCATATTCGATTTGTCCGAGTGCTTCGACCATTTCCTTAAATACGCCACCTTTTTGCATAAGTAAATACGGTGCGTCGAACTCAATAGCAGTACCGGCATCCATAACTAACACCCGATCAGAATCGATAATAGTATTTAATCGATGGGCCACTGTTATCACTGTAGAGTCTGCGAAACTTTCTCGTATTGTCTTTTGAATTATTTCATCCGTTCTGAAAATACAAAGAAGTAAGATAACAATGATCATGATGATTATTTTTTTTAAGGGAATGAAAAAGATTTGAATCGTTACCGAAGATCAACATTTGCCGTAGCTTCGTCAAGAATAATAATGCGATTCTTTCGTAGGATTGCTCGAGCTAAACATAGAATCTGTCGTTGACCTGTACTGAAGTTTTGTCCATGTGATTGAACTGGCATCTGCAGCCCATTATTTTTCGATACATACGCTTCCATTTCAACATTCGCAAGCGCACTCCAAATGTCATTGTCCGAGTATTCTTCGAATGGATCCAAATTTCTGCCAAATGAAAAATTCAACTTAATCTTTAGGTACCTTCGGAACAATACAAATCAAAGTGCTAACCGTCGCAATGTGCCTGAAAAAAGTGTTGGCTCTTGAGGAATTATCGATACTCTCGATCGTAGTTCACTCAATTCCACTGAAGCAGTGTTAATGTCATCCAAGAGTATATCACCATCTACGATTGCCAATCGAAATATCGCATGGACCAATGAGCTCTTTCCAGCACCTGTACGACCGACAACGCTGACTTTCTCTTTGGGCTTTACTGCGAATGATATGCCACGTAAAACTAATTCATCAGCTGAATATCGAAACGAAACATTCCTAAATTCAATTTTCCCTTTTGATGGCCAGTCTTTTGACACTTTGTGTGGTATATCTGGTTGCTTTTCCGGTTCTAGTTGACTGTACTCCAACACACGCTCAACGGACGTTAGATGATTTGTTACATCAGCACCTGTTTATGAAGAGAAAATGGCCCATTCAAGACTGTAGTTTATATTTTGAATATAGAAGATACTTTCTTAATTTTACTCCATATTGCAAAAGCCCAGACAAACTGAGTGCCTGTGTTATTGCCAAACCCACTCGATCTCCAGATACATCTATGGAAAAAACATAATGAAGTATAGATCTTCGGAAAAATGTCAATGCAAACCTTCATTCACCACTAAGAAAAGGAAAACGACAATGCCAATGAAGACATATACCATCAAATCTAATGACATCCCAAATGCATTCGATGTGCCTGAAGTAAAAAAGTATGGAGTAATATCTCAAATTTGAAAGAAAAATCTATTGAAAATACCTAAAAACATGAAGAAAGTGCCAGTGTTGAGGTTTTGGTGTCTTTCAAACTCTTCACGTAAAATATCTTCAGCTTGGAATGATCTAATCACAGATAATCCACTCAAAGTCGCTGCAATGTGGGTGAATACGGGCGATTTTGCTATGGAAAAAATCATATATTGGAAATTTAATTTTCTTTTATATTTCAAATCGTACTTACTAATTCCTTCCAAGCGCATGATATTCGTGGAACATTTCAAATATATTTTACGTATAAAAATAAATATGATTGTCATTGTCAGGATGACTACGGACAGTTTAATATCTGTAAAAATGGTTACACCAATTGCGCCAAGTCCAGTTAAAATGATTGTAGTTGCTTCGGTCAATGCCCTTGGCAATATTTCATCAATACTGCCCAAGTCTTTCGTAAATCTATTCATAATACGTCCAGTTGGATTTTCATCAAAGAATCGCATAGACGTTGATATCAAGCTGTGGAACATTTTTCCATGTAAATTCTTCGATGCTTTTGTACAAACTCGACAAAATGTAGCCGATCTCATGGCCACACATAACAGCAACGACAACATAATTGCACTGTATATAGATATGTACGTTTCAGTGGACCATAGCCTTGGTTCTGTATCGTTTGATGCCAGATCAAATGAATTTAACGAATTATTTGATGAGCTGGTTCGAAGTTGAAATGCTCGAGATTCTTCACTTCTGATCCTTTGATAAAAAAAAAGAGTTGATTTGCAAACAAATATCCATATTAAAAATAACGACGCAGGAATAAAACAGATTAATCTTTTACCACTTTGATACCCATATATCAACTAAGCTTGCCAGTGCTTGAGTTATTGTATAAGAGACATACAGTAGTATTAATATACAAGGAACATCCGAAGAATGGAGGTAATTCAAGAGCATCCAACCATTTACTTTGCCCTTTGATGTTGCTTCCAACTCTTTCACCAACACACTTTTCTCGTCCAGTATTTTCTCATTTATTTCCAAAATATTTGATTCTTTTTTCAATGATTCCAATGAATTTGATGGACTTTTGTGCGATGACGCTGATTTTCGACGCTGGATATTCGTTGTTAAAGCATTTGGTCTCGGTTCAATTTCATTCTTGTTTGCTATGTAATCGAAATCAAAACCAGATTTTGATAATGTATTATAATCTCCTTGCATCTCAATTCTTCCCTGGTAAATAACAACAAAAAAAAGATTCGAGATTCTAGAGTTAAGTCAGGGCAGTATGAAAGAATGCAATCAATTACATCTTTCATGACGACAATCCAATCTGCCTCTTTCATGAAGTGCAGTTGATGTGTTACCAAAATTCGAGTGGCATTTTGTCGTGCCAAGTATCCATTTGGGCCGATACACTTATTGAATAGATGAGATTGAACGTGAGTATCCACGGCGCTTAGAGGATCATCTATTAAATAAATGTCCGCTTTGCGATATAATGCACGGGCGAAACTGAAAATGTCGTGCATTTTTTTTTGTATCTTTTTAAGATGGTTGTGCAAATTACTCACTTTATTCTCGCTCTCTGTCCTCCCGATAGTCCAGCTCCATTTTCACCAATAATCGTCATATCACCGTTACTAAATTGTTCAAAGTCTTTTGTTAGGGCTGCAAAATCAATTACTTTATTGTACCGTGATCGATCCATGGGCTGTCCAAATATGATGTTCTGTCGAATATTCTTTGATGTGAAAGTCCAACTTACTTGGCTCGAGTAAGAGATTTTACCATTTATGCCCATAGCACCTTGAATGACTGGCACTTCTTTAAGCAAAACGTGCAAGAGTGTCGATTTACCAGCACCCACAGGTCCAACAATAAAGATAAGTTTTCCTTTCAATATTTCCAGGCTTATATCTTGGAGCTTGAATGACTTGCATTCGTTAGATATGGTTTCAGTCTTACTTTTATTTGTGTCAACATTTTTAGTCAATTTTCGTTCGTCGACACCACTCCATTCGGCTGACACATTTTTCATGGAAAAACCTAAATTTTGATTTTCAAGTACATCAGAGTTAATAATCGTTGAACTATTCAAGCTAGATTCACTATTTTCTTCATATTCAAGAAAGGTTTGTAATCGCTTGAGAGCACTCAATAGTTCATTCATTGCGAAAACGGCCCGGACAAAGAGGCGACACATTGCATGCGAAATAATATTGAATAAATATGCGGTCATAAACATTTTGGAAACTGTAAGATTCTCCGCGCCATGTAGCCAAACGAATGTTAAAATTGTTCCGAAGAGCGCCATTTTGGCTGAAAACAGAGATAGTATATGTTGAATAGCTCGAATGTATGCATTCTTTAGCACCATTTCCAATTCAAGTTGTCGAATGGCTCCGATCAATTGTTCAAATTGCTTTTCCCATGCACACATTTTAATCAGCTGAACTCCAGATATTATCTCGTCCATGAATCGAACGCGTTCATCCGTTCGTAATGCAGTCTGGAACCGAATTCTCCCAGACAATTTTCCCATGTAACCTGTATAGGGATATTCTTTTGAAATCACTCGTTCGAGCTTATACAGAAATAGTCAGTTGTTCACAATTTTACAGAATGTTTAGTTAAAAAGAGAAAGAATTTGAAATTAATTACTTTGAACAGGTAAAAAGAGTAAAATAATGGCTATTCCCACAATGACAGCCCAATCAATTTCTCTCCACAAAATATATGCAGCTAGAACAGTTGTTAGAGGAGACACCCATAATGTATGCAAATATGACAGTGTTTCGCAGCGTTGAAGATCGTTTGATAGCAAGTTCACAAGTTTTCCCGGCACCGAATTGGTTAAGGCTCTTTGTGATAGGCACAGTGCCTATGATTATACAAGACAAATGTTTTAAACGAGTAAAATAGTTCAAAGATCATTGAAACCAGAGATTTTGCGAACCTTTCGGTAAATAACACTAGACAGAGCTACACGAACTTTCATGGTACAGTGATAACCCTTGAAAAGGTGGTGAAGAAAACTGATTCCTGAGCAAATGGAGAATGCAAAAAGAACGGCACCATATGTTAATGCATCTTCTTGGGATACGTCTGAATTTTCACTGAAATTCACAGGAACATTTTTCAATTAGAAAAAAACTCATCGATACATTTTCAAAAAAAAAGTCATACCGAAAATGTGATAAAAGTCTTTCCAATATGAATGCAAATGTTAATCTACAAAAGCAATCGGTGAAAATACAATAAAGTCCTAGAACAAGTGCTTCCCACCAAAATGCTTTGAATAATGCTCGGGCCAAATATGGACGGGACATTCTCTTCCGTTCAGCCTGCCATTGTCTAAAATTGTCCAGTTTTATCAATGGTAAATTAGCCATTGTAAATACCATACTTCTCTAGTCGATCTCCCAGAAAGTCTGAGCGGTCTTCAACAAGCGGTTCAAAAGCATCATTCGGATGTAGGGTCTTTTGATAGCTCTTCTTGAAAATTGGTATTGACCAACCGAAAAATATTATGGACAAAATGTTAGCATTTTGTCGTGGACTCTTTGACAATTTTCTATATCCAATTTCCATCTTTTTTCGACTAATTTAGCACACTTTTATTAAAACTAAAAAAAAAACATAGCATATCTTTGGTTGTAAAATGACACAAAAACCGATTGCGTAAATAACAAAATGAATGTTTTGAATCAGCAAATAATGCAAAGATTAAAAAAAAATCCACTACGGTAATGAAGTAATTCAGAACATTTTTACAATTCAAAGATGAAGTATACAATTTCACATAATATCAAACGCCAGCTCATTGAACACACTGTTATTATGGTAATAAAAATAATCACAGATTAACACTTTGAACGAATTTCGTTTTCATTGAAAAACTCTTTTTGTCTATAAGTGAAATGAATTTTAAATTTTTCCAAGATTTACTTAAAAACGTTAGAAGAATTTTTGAAAGTATACGAACTGAACACTATAATGTTAATATATTATAGACGAAAGTATATCAAACAATGCACAAGTTTTCCCAAGTAAATTATATAATTTATTTGTTGATAATTTAACATTTATATCAAGACTTGATTTAATTAAATTGAAAGCTTTTTTGTAGATTTATTCAATTAAGGACTGTTAATGCAAAGAAAAACTAATGAAACTAAATATTCTTCTAGAAATCAACTGCGATGAATGACAGCAGAACAACTGAACTGGGTTGAATTGAGCAATTTTAGTTGTTGCGATGAAACAGTTGTTGATAATTATCAACATTATGATGGAATGATAACTGATAAGCGTTTCAGACAATGTTTACTGTGCGCTAGGGGAAATGCACAAATTACCTTTTAGTTTTTACAACTGTATCTGTGAACTCATCAGAGAGTACTTCAAAATTGAAGAGCAAAAAATAAACAAGACAATAGTGTTGGCCATTTGAACACTTTCGAACGTTTGTTCGACCGTTCTACATCATTGAAAAATGGTTTTTTTTTTGTTCGTTGGTTCATTCATAAATAAAATCGATGATAATATGAGATGTCAAATTCGAATTAAACTCTTGTCAATTGAGGCTTATTGAATTTATGTTTTTATTCTAAGAAAATCACTTTGTCCCAAATTAAGCAACTTAGATTGACTTGTAACTTCAAATGATTTCAATTAACTATGATAGACTTACACTACACTTAAAGGTGTCAAACGAACACGAACGAACAAAAAAAATGCTCGAAATGTTCGTTCGTTCGTTCGACAAATTTTTCTCGAACAAACGAACACGAACACCCTTGTGTTCGGAAACAACTGAAAAATTCGAACGTTCGGAAAAAATCCGAACACACGAACAATTTTGTTTTCGTGTGTTCAATTTTTTTTATAAATTTCGAACGTTCAATTGATTTTGTTAAAAAAAAATTGAAGGTTCAAATTCTCAAAAGATTTTTTTTTTCAAGGAAAAACAAATCAAATTGAAAAAACGAACTGATTTTACATCTCTTGCTTATGGATTAATAACAATTTGATTTTAGAAAAATCGAACGTTCGAAATTCATAAAAAAAATTCGAACACACGAAAATTGTTCGCGTGTTCGGATTTTTTCCGAACGTTCGAATTTTTCAGTTGTTTCCGAACACAAGGGTGTTCGTGTTCGTTTGTTCGAGAAAAATTTGTCGAACAAACGAACGAACGTTCGTAAATTTTTTAATAATTTTCAAACGAACGAACGAACAAGGTTATTGTTCGTTGACATCTTTAACTACACTTTGTACTGAAATGTCAATCAAAGTAAGTCCATTTTGTCCGAAATTAAGCTAAGTACACAGTTCCTTGTGAAATGAAAAAATTTCTTCGATGAAATTTTCACAGGTGATATATTTATGGTGTTTTTTATTTTCGAATTGCAAGCATAATGACTTTTGATGTATAAAACAGCTAACACATTCCAATATCAACACGACACATGAAGAAATTTGACTTTTGAGTTCATTCTTCTATGTGTTTTGTCTGAACAAATTATTTTCACGGTCGTGAAAAATATTCCGCATGCAAAATGTTTAGTTAACTGACTGCTCAGTTACAATATTTGCACACGGGCTGCCATTCCCATTTGTATTATTATCTTGAGAAAGATGTCAAGGTCTTCATCGCGTCGCTGGCAATTCCAAAAGTGAATCGAAAGCGACACAAATTTTAACTGAAATACGATAAACGAGCGATAGGCACATATGCACCGGAAATACCCGTCGCTTGTATAACAGCTTGATTACATCAAATGAACCAGTTGAGATTTGGTTCATCTACAGTGCATTGTGTTTACTTTCATTTTAATTGACAACTTATTCGATTTTTCATTGGGAGTGAATAATTTTTTCCATTGTCAAGCTATTTAATGTGAACCGTTCAATGAAAAATCAAACAATCCGCTCTTTTCTGTTCATCAAAATCTGTTTTTGAAGTAAGAGAGAATTCGGTTAAAGCAATGTCCAACAAAACTTTGCTACAAATTTGTGTTGTCTTGGGAGTGGTCAGTGGTTTTCAGAGCCTGAATAGTGAGAATATAAGTAATCAACGACATCGAACTGAGCGAATCGATGGAGAGAAGCATCAAAGCCACATATTTCACTTCTTTTATCCGGTTCACGAGAATGTTGTTGAACCAACGGAGAAAAATGATGTGAATATTAGTCGTAGATCACTATGGCTTGGCCATAGACTTTTTTTTGCTATCAAAACGAACGATGAACCGATTGTAAACACTTTGATTGAAGAAAATGCAAGTGTGAACGTCAAGGACGATCAAGGCTGGACTGCACTTCACCATGCCGCTTTCTATGGTAATTAGCGATTAAAAGAGTTATTATTTTTTTAAATTTCAACATTGTTTCAGTCTGATCAACTGCTTTACACACTTTGCCAACTCTTACAAAGTACTTCGCTCAAAGATGATTTTCATTTAAACTGTAAATCGAAGTCGAACTTTTTGGTACTTAAAATTTTCAATTCTAGGCTACGATGGAATCGTTGAAATTCTCTTAAGAAATGGCGCGAGAGTTAATTCTACCGATAATGATGGAAATTCGCCACTTCATTCTGCTGCACTCAATGGTTTGGACAAATTAAATGCGTTTGATTATGGTACTATCAATCAGAAAAAATCGTTTTGAGCGCTTTTTTTCGTTTTGTCAAAGGCAAGGGAAAAGTCGTGGAAATTTTGGTGAAAGAAGGTGCTGGTGTCAATCTAAGGAATAAATTTAATGAAACGGCACTTTTTATAGCGGTCGATCATAGTGGGTGATGCATATATTTATCGAAATTCAGGCCATTTCAAATACTTACACTTTCAGGCTATGGAAGAATTGTGACATTTTTGGCTCGAAATGGAACTGATCTTGACATTCGGAATGACAAGAAAAAAACCGCGCTTATCGTTGCTGTTGAAAAAGGTTTGTGATTAGCTTCAATTGGTCATTTGACATAAGTTTGACCGTGCAAAACATTTAATTGGCGCAGATCTAGAAGATGCTGTTGATATTTTAATAAAGAATGGTGCCAATGTGAATTTAACTGATGATAATGGTCATTCTCCACTTTACATTGCACTCAAAGAAGGTAAATCGATAGAAATGAGTGCAATTCCACAACAATTTGTCAAATTGAAACGATACTCTTGTGTATGTATGTCTCGGCAGGTCACAAAGAAATAGCGAGATTGCTCATTGAAAATAAAGCCAATGTTGATCTCGATCTTGGTAATTGGAAGACGGAGATATATTGGTGTGTTACGCGCGGCGAAGGTATGACTTATTTTAACAAACATTCCACATGTTCATGTCGTGGGTAATGAAACAAAAAAGAAATATTCTCTTCCAGCCAGTGGATTGGCGGCCACCAAAATATTAGCCGAAAATGGCATACGTAGCCCATACACATTTGATTTTGAAATAATTGATGCCTTCAATCTTGAGAAAGCCATGCGAGAAGGTGACTTTTAATTCTACATTCTTGATTTGATTCCATAACCATTTCCACACAATTGATTCAGGTGATGTAAATGCAATCGAAATGTTGGTTAAAAATTGCGCCGACTTAAGTCAAATGGAACGCTTTGAACTACTCCATAAAGCGGCAGAAATCGGTAACTGTTTGAAATGATGTCGAAAAATCTTCAGGAAAAATCATTTAAATTCACTTGAACAATGCATTAGGCAATGTTGAAATCATGAAATTGTTCATTGATCATGGGGCAAGAGTTAATTATTTCTGGAACGAAGCACCAATTCACCGTGCTGCTTTGCGAGGTAAATTTTATTGGAAGAATAAACATGCCGTAGTTTCTTCCAGCTACTGAAAGTTTTTTGATTTATTCAAACATTTCTAACATTTCTCAACCATCACTATCAGGTCACGTCGATGCGGTTAAATATCTTTTGGAAAATGGTGCCACTGTAAATGACAAGGATCATGAATGGAAAACCCCATTATTTTACAGCGTTAAAGGAGGTGTCGATTTTTTTTTCCATTCAAAATCAAGATTATACTCATCATTTTCCTTTTAGGCCATGAGAAAATGATCAAAATGCTAATAGAGAATGGTGCAAACGTGAACGAGACCACCTACCAATCCTTAACGCCACTTGATTTTGCTTGTTCAATAGGTGATTTTTCGACTTTTTTTTAAAAAATGAATACAGATTTTCTCCTAAAGAAGGGAACGATACCATTGATTTCAAGCCATTTTCTCTTGAAATTCTTGGTGAAGACAAGTGTCTTCATTGGGAAATCAATTTAAAACATAGTTTGAATTAGGTTATTACACCAAAAAACTTGTCGCAAAATACGTGTGCTCCAAATATCTGTCACTTAATTTTCACGTTTGCTTCGTTCTTCGTTTGAATTCGAATGATTTTCTCTTGAATGAATCAAATTCACACAATTACAGGCAATACAGAGGCAGTTAAGATGCTTATCGAGCACGGAGCGAAAGTAAATGCTGTCAACAGCAATATTTTCACACCACTTCATACGGCAATCAGAAATCGTACGTACCGCGTACTTATTACCAATTTTAACGGAAGATTGATCTTTTTTATAGAATTTCATTCGGATGGACAAATTCGATTTAGTATTAGTTCCCATTTAAATTTTTCCACTAAATTCATTTTTTCTTTGTTTTAAATTCATGTTCAGAAGAAAATAATTTTTTGGTTGTTAAATCGATCATTTTCTGTAGATCATGAGGAAATTTCCAAAATTCTTATTGAACATGGAGCCGATATAAATGCTAGAGATGGCAGTGGATCAACACCTCTTCATGTAGCTGCTTCGAATGGTAATTTTGAATGTTAATATGCGTGAGCGAATAAGACCAAATTCGAATTAGATTTGAAAATATTTCTAAGTGTAGCATCTCCATACAGAAGTATCCGTGTTTGCAATATTACTATTTTACTGTGTGAACCTTTTATATAATTCAAACAAGAAGGAATCTGTTGTTTTCAGACAACATTTCATCGTCTTTCTTCAGTTCTCTGATTAGCAATGATGTTGGTTATAGTAAACCAAGATCAAATAATCAAGATCTCTTCACAGTAAACACGATGGTTCTAACTTTTAGAACCACAATATGAAATTTGGCACTAAAATCCATTTGAGTACCATTTGTACTAGAAAAAGTTCAAAATGTTCTAAATCAAAAATCAAAGCTTCATGTATTTATTATAGAACTTTTGAACTTTTTCTAGAGCAAATGGTACTAAAACAAAGTTAAGTGTCAAATCTTAACATTGCTTGAATCATTGTATTAACTGTGTTGGATTTAAATGAATTTGACTCATTTCAGGCAATGCTGGCATTGTTAAATTGCTCATCCAACACAACTCCGATCTTGGAGTAAGAAACAATTTAGCAAAAACACCTCGCGAAATGGCTTTAAAAAACGGTTACCAAAGTATCGCCAGAATATTGCGCCAGGCAGAAGAAACCACTTTTCAAATGTGAAATTACCTCTATTTACAGTTATAGTTTGTTTAATCAAAAGTAGTCAAGTTTTGATCAGCTGTGTGAGTTCAAAAATCAATACAAATTCTTGTTTTCTTCGCTTTTCCATTTTCGGGCAGTTCGGTGATGTTGATGTTAAAGTTCATAATTGATTGCAATATTTCAATTTTGTTCTTCGATTTTTGATAAAATTGAAAGGAGCATCGCATTATAAATTCTACTTCAACCCAAAATAGAACACGAGCAAATTAAAAATAAGAATAAATTCAATGGGAAATTGAACATGCTTCCGAGTTTTATTTCACAAGGCATTTTTGATAGGTTGAATCCGCGTCCGTAGAAATGTAAACGATCTTAAGGAAAAAGTAAGTGCTATTTTACTTTCAACTCTTTCAACCACATTGTTGATGGCCATTTCTCACATTTTTCTCTGTATGTTCATTGGTTTTGTAATTCCAACACTCTTTTACACTATGTAGCTGCATTCTCATTAAATCAACTCTCAAATGACAATACTAAACTGAAGACCATATATTTTTCTATAAAATAAAAAACGAAATCAAATTTCTTTGAAAATACCATACAATTTAAATTGAGATGCTAAAATATATATCCATTCCAAATTATCGGAACAATTACTTTCATGTGCTAGTTCAATCATTCAAAATGTTTCTCCAGCGTTTCGCCTTCCATCCGCGAGTTGAAAAACTGTGAGTCAATGATTTCGAGTCGGAAATTTTTCACATTCGAATTAAATTTGTAGTAATCGATAATGGTGTGCGTATCAATTTCAGCGGTCGTTGCTATGAACAATTCATCCAAATACGTTATCTCTTCGCCGATTTCCAAGATGTCTTCGTCATTCAGTGAATTGCCGGCGATAAAAATGTTCCGCATATTTTTATTCTGTTCGATGAAATTGACGCACTCATCAGCCGCGCAGGTCATGTAAAGCTCGTCGAGTTGGTCAAACGCGAGAAACTGTGATAATGCCACTTCGTCAGACCAGAGATAAGCCTTTTTAAGATTTGCAAAGTAGATCTTTTCGCCATCGAATTCGTCGTTCAGTCGAAGTACGTTGACCTGGAGCGTTTCAAGATTTGGCAAATAATCTCTGGCCATTTTCAGTATTTCCAATGAGTCGCAATAAACGTAGATGAAGTTTCGAATCTGTGGATTTTTCGAAAACAGTTTTTTCAATGCCAATTTTGTGTTGCTGAAGCTGTTTCCATCGGTCAATGGCCGAGTGGATGTAATTTTCACTTGCTCTAGCTGTGAAAATTCAACGTCAAATATCGGTTCCGCTCCCAGAGCATAATCCAAGGATAATCGACGCAATCCTGGGAATATTTCATTCAATTTTTTCTGAGTGTGAAAATAATTGAAGTTGAAATACCCTTTGGACACCTTCACATATCCGGTTAATGTCAAGTTTTCGACCTTTTTGAGCACATTCAAACTTTGCAGGATTGTCACATCCCATCGGAACAAACTGAGTGATATCAATGAATCGGCACAATGCGTCACAATCAGCTTATGGATTTGTTTGCGATCTCCTCTTGATGATAATTGATCGTAATTTAATTCCAATTTTTGAATATACGGACCAAATTTGTGAAAAAGTTCTGGTACTAATTGTTTCGATTGTATCGTTTCGGCTGTTTCGTGAACGTTGATTTTATCCATTGAAATTGGTGCAATGGTCATTGAGCCATACTTTCGTTGAAATGTATCAATTTCACTCTTCTGATGCGTCTTTAGCAAACCAACAAGATCCATGTTTTCAAACAGTGACGACTGATTCATTGCATGGGCAGAACTTGCGTCATTATGCTACGGAAAATGGGAAAATTCAAAGAAATCGATCTGAAATTTTATGTTTTTCTTCAATACTTACTTGTTTAATTGGTATTGAATGGACAGAATGAGCACAAAAGCACAAAGAAATCAGAATGGCCATTTTCATATTGATTAAGCCTCGACATGCGTTCACTTGACGATTTTAACGAATGTAATGAGCCGAATAGAAAAACCGCCGTTTATAAGTGGCGTTTATTATCCGATGACTTGTAGAGAAAACTGAGCATTTTCCGTGTATCACTAGGCGTGATTTACCACGTTAAAATAATAGATTAGACAGAACTGTTTGCGCTGATGTACGAAACGAATATATAGATAATTTTTAAGATTATTTGTCGTTTTTTTTTCGTCTTTTTTCATAATTTTTTTCCCTTTGTTCACGATAATATTTCTTGTTAATTAGAAACAATGAACATATCAACAAGTCTTTTCTTCAATTGGTTATCATAATATGATTGTATCTAATTGTCGCGACAAGTCAAAAGACTTATCGATCCAAAATTTGACAGAGATAGAACGATCTTCTTGAATTGTAGACAGTTGATTAAGCTTAAGATTAACGATTTCGAGTTTTCGTCATTCGGCAGGATGGTTTAGATGGCGATGTTTCGTTTTGACAAAATGATCGGAAGAGGCCATAAATTTCACGAGATGTCGTGCACAGAAAACGGTGAAAATATAATAATAATGTATCAGGATTTTTTATGCGCTAAATTCATCACGCTGAATAAATTCATGCGATAAATGTGATGCGCTCGCTTTGCGGTGAACGAAGTCTGTTGCTCTTCAGTTATTCACGCATGAACGTTCATGCTTTGCAGTGAACGCATCGCTAAGCGGTAGTGAAGAGCAACAAAACTCGTTCACCGCAAAGCGAGCGCATCACATTTATCGCATAAATCTATCGCATGAATTTATTCAGCGTATAATAAAGCCTGCAGTGTATATTCTTTGTAAATGATAGAACAGAATGAAGCGAATACAGAGTACGTAGCACCATTCGTTCATATGAATAAACCAATCTGTGTACTGCTGCCAGTTTCATTTTTTCTGATAGCCTCAATGGTGACTCAATTCATCAGCTGACTTGTTTTCCATGAATAAAAATAATTTTTCATTCGACAGTTATTCACTGTAATCCTTATGTTGATAATAAAAATTATGAAAGCAGCTATGAATGATGAATGTCATCAGCTCAAGTCGTTCATTTACTGTTTGGATATGAGCAAAATAGCTCACGATTTCAAACATTTAAATCAGTATTATTTTTTTCGTGCAAATTCAAACGGCGAAACAATACGAATAGAAAATGAAGTTTTACAATAAAATCGCATTTTGGATAGTATGTGTGTGGACGATAATTGAAGTTGTACTGTGCATCGTTGTATTATGTTCATACAAAGAGAATAAAAGTCACGCCGAAAACTTCTTGAATGGACTATGCGAGACAGAGAAGTGTGGCCATTTCATCCGAAATGCACTCATCGGCCGAATAATTACATCGGTTTTATTACTTGTGGGCAATTTGCTGGTATTTTTCTTCATTCTTTCTTCATTCAATGATCAATAATTTTAACAAACCAAATTAATACGTCTGATTGCTTTCTTGATCCGCAGGGATGTACCTGGTTAATGGTTCCATGGTTTTTAGTCAATGCAATGGGCATATTTCCACTTTTACCCACCATTGTGTCTTCTTATCATACGTGTAAGTGTCTGCATCTTCTACATTTCACATAGACCAAGTCGAAAACATATTATTTCAGAAAAAGACAAAAAATAATTGCATTTAATTCATTTCCAGACAAGGATGTTAGAGACGCTAAGACCGATTTCACTCTTTTCTACGACACCTTGGGAATTTTGCTCGGTTTCAAACAGAAAGATCTATAAGATCCAAATTTTGTTGCTGAATTATTTTTTTTTATTGAAGAACCGGAGGATCCTTATCGAATCGGCCGGAAAAAAACTCATTAATATTGAATCATTGCATTGATTTAAATCTCAATTGCTTAATTAGGCACGAAAAATGGTGCAAATTTTTGCGCTGACTCAAAAATAATTCGCGCGTAAAAGGGGATCTTTCGAATAATTGCAACGCAAAACTGGAACACTGACTTGTCGCACAGTAATTTTCAGGCTGTGATTTACAACAACAATGTGTCCCGCCTTTGATTAGTAACATTTCCAAAATTCCCATTTATGCGCGAATTTTTTATTTTTTTTTTTCCCCTAAATCAATGACATCAATTAGATTTCAGCAAATTTATCCCCACCTTATCTCCCCACCAATTTTACGGTCGATCAAACGATGGTCAACGCAAAGATTACATTCCATATTTATAAATAACTCCAAAAACTGTTTCGAACATTCCATTCGTTTTAGTTTTAGTTTAATTCAAAACATTTACCATTGCAATATTCATTTTTTCTCATATTTGTAATTCGTTTTCTAAACCAAAAGTCATATAGGACTTTTACAAATTCAGAAACAAATTAGTTAATATGAGAATAGATAAAAAATAAACGAGCAAAAAATATGAAAGTAAATTCCAACGCTTCTGTACGTATTTTTCAGTCTTTATCATTTTCATGCTATTATTCATTCGAAAAAACAAAAATTGAATTGAAATAAATACTAATGAAATAAACCAGCTTCATATTATACAGCGTAGTTGATGAAAAATTTGTTTGATTTATTCAATAATATCGTAGTAGCAAAAGAATGTGATGAATCAGAGAGAGAGAGAGAGAGGGAGAGCAATTCGATATCGATGAATTGTTTGCATCTGAATCGTGCCAATTTCAATGAAAGAACATTTCCAATGACTCCACGCTGTATTAGCATTGAATCTGTAGTCTGCGTAATGTTAATAGCTAGACATTGCTATGCTATGATAGACGTTTATTGCATTTACATCACAAAATTCTAATGACTAGCAAACAATTCGTCATTAGAATGAAATCAGAGAGCTCTGATGCAATTTTCATGATTCAATGAATGAAACCACGAAAATCCCGAATTCCAAAAACCATGATGATGATGAAAAATGAGTAGAATCAGCTAAAGTTATTAAATTTTTTGGTGATTTCAATGTTGGTTGACTCATTTGCTAATTCAGCTGTTTGGATATCGAATAACTATAATAGGATTTTCAGTTTATTTTTGAACTCTGAGTCATATTAAATCATTGAAAATGCTCTGTTATTACGACTTTGTTAAAATCTCCTCGCTGTAATGCATGATTCACTGACAAATGCGACATTTTGCCTGAAAAAGGCCATTTTTCATTCATTCCTATTATTATACAATGAAAGAATAAAGAATGATATGATTATTATTCTGGATCAGGCCATGAAAATATTCTAAAAAAAAGATGAACTATTCGGACTGATTACGCATCATTTACAGCTGGTTGAGATAGATGAAGCTATGACTAATGAGAGCTGCGCAGCAAAATATGAGCGCAACATAAAGTTGGTGGTTGATAACATTATTTCAGATAAATATAGCTTGGAAATGTTTACATTGTGAAATCTTGTGTATTAAACGTACATTTGCATTCGTTTGAGCCACATCACTTTAATAAATCACTCAAAGCAGAGTTTTTATTTGTTTGTGAACGTAAAATAAATCAGAATGTTCTTTCGAATCGTAGTATGGATGTTTCGTGAGCGTAGAAAACGTAAAAAACCACAACCTCACGATATTACCGCTGTGGAACGCCAAGAGAAACTAAGTGATGAAATCGACGGTAAATCAGAGTCAAGTTTTGCCAAACGTCCGATCACATACGATTTGCTTTGTATGTGGGGCTTACTTGAAACATTGATCCTAGCAAGTGTGATGATGTTCAAAGAGCAGGACTATAAAGACAACTTTACGCATGGACTTTGTGCAACCCACGAATGCAAAAAACTTGTGTTCAATGCATTAATATACAAAATTGTCTGTTCCATTCTGCTGACGATTGGCGCAAGAACAGTAAGCACCAATGTTGTTTTCAATTGTGGATTGTTTCATTTGATTTTCTCTTAAATTTGATTATGAATTTTTATGTAAAACTGATCACCCTAATTCATCTACAGGAGATTACTATACTCATGCTTCCGTGGTTCATATTCAATATAGCAGGTGTGTTTCCATTTTTATCAGTGATCATATCATCTTTTTGGCGTTGTAAGTATCGTTTGTTTTTCTCTTTAAATTTTCGCTAAGAATGATTTCAGAAAAATGTTATTTCTTCTTTGTTTTAGTTAAAGAAGTGAAAAAATTTCCAGCATTAAATTGGGCTTTTAAAATCCTGTTCGAATGAATGAAAAATATATGAGCTAACTAAATACAGCTGAAATGGATGGATGGATGCATACTAAAATGTGGAACAAAAAGTTATTGGGACAGAAATTTACACATTTTCGAAACAATAGTTTTGATTTTGCCCTTTTTCTTTCTTTTATCGAATCGTTTGGGTAAACTTTAAAAATATTCAACCATTTGACTATATTTTCAAAGCATTTTTATACTAAGAATAAAGGATTTTATCACATACATTTTTTTTGGCACGGTTGACCACAAAAATGGCGTTTTCTTAAGGATGTAGTCATACGTACTTATTATGTAGAAATGTACATTTTTGCAAAATTAAGACGGTTGCTGGAAAAGCAATATACCACGTGGTGACATTATTATTGCTGCGACAAGATATCGCACACATACACAAGCAACGAATGTTTACACCGTGTGCTATGACAGTTTCAAGCCATGAACTGCAGTGTTAAGTCATATAATACTAAACGCATCCATTCTTAATAGGAAAACAATGAAAAATTAATGGGTGCGTTTAATATTATGCAGCATTTACGTTAAACTGGCCCCAAAAAAAAGTAACGTCCAGTTTCGAAAAATATACCTCAAAAAAATAGGTTTTGTCCAAAAAAACGATATGGGCACCATATAAAATTCCGTGCCAAGTCCCATATGAAAATTTTCATTACAGCGATTTCGGAAGCCGATTTAGATCGCAACATTTCGACCGATTCCATTATTCTAGCCAAATTTCGGCAGAAACTGATGATGAGGTTTTGTTTGGCTCGTCAATATCTACAACTTTTACCAAGACATCAGCCCTTGAAAAGGCCTTCTGGGCCAGTTACAGTGTAAAATGACCGAAAAAATGGCAATTTTTCGGCATTTTTTGCATTTTTCGCTCTACTGGCCACCCAGGTGGTAGACTTTTGTTCAGCTTTGGACTTGTGTCGTGTAGCCAAAACCTGCACAAAAATTTTGGTACTTGTCAGATTGCGATTTGGATGAAATTCGGTGTCAATTGATTTACATATAAAAGAAAAATTTCAAGTCAAAATGAGCAAATCACACTCTTAAAATTGGCTATTTAAGGTACCTCCCGAACAAAAATTGATATTTTCATAGCAAAACGCATGAAAAACGTAACATTTGTTCGCGAGGTACCTTAAAAAGTCAATTTTGAGAGTTTTTGTCTGGGTAGACTCCCCATATCTTCGAGAAAAAATAACATTGCCCCAAGACACCATCCCTGAAACGCCTATACTTAAGGATTTTTTGGTCAAAAATCGATTATTTGGGAGTTGAAATCGAATATGAGGCTAGAAATATGCAAAAACATCACTCGATTTGGTAATGTAAGTACCCAAAATGTTTGTAAAGAACCATACTAGATGTTCAAAGGCAGAAAAGGTAGAAATCATTTGCTTTTACCTGTCAAACCGAAGCTCATGTTTGTGATTTGCTCATTTTGACTTGAAATTTTTCTTTTATATGTAAATCAATTGACACCGAATTTCATCCAAATCGCAATCTGACAAGTACCAAAATTTTTGTGCAGGTTTTGGCTACACGACACAAGTCCAAAACTGAACAAAAGTCTACCACCTGGGTGGCCAGTAGAGCGAAAAATGCAAAAAATGCCGAAAAATTGCCATTTTTTCGGTCATTTTACACTGTAACTGGCCCAGAAGGCCTTTTCAAGGGCTGATGTCTTGGTAAAAGTTGTAGATTTTGACGAGCCAAACAAAACCTCATCATCAGTTTCTGCCGAAATTTGGCTAGAATAATGGAATCGGTCGAAATGTTGCGATCTAAAATGGCTTCCGAAATCGCTGTAATGAAAATTTTCATATGGGACTTGGCACGGAATTTTATATGGTGCCCATATCGTTTTTTTGGAGAAAACCTATTTTTTTTTAGGTATATTTTTCGAAACTGGACGTTACTTTTTTTTTGTGGCCAACTTTTTTTTTTTGGGCCAGTTTAATTTACGTGCATTTACGTTCGACACTAGCAGTCGTTGTTTCAAGCTTACCAAGTCTAGAGGGCCAGTGTTGTTTCTGACTCACCAAGAACGCGAGCTTTATACAAGCGAGAGAGTTGAAAACAGAGATCTCATTTTGGATACTGCTATATTTCGAGCTACCAGTAGTTGCTATTTATAGGCAATTGTTGTGGATATTTTGAAATAGCAGCTTTCGGCTGCTTCATTATTCATCGGCTCAATTTAAAAAAGTCTTCTCAGATTCCTCTAAAGATAAGTCAATGACCATATAAGTCTTTGTTTTCGATCGGCCAATGAATGACATTCGAATGTGAATCATATTTTTTTGTTCGAATATTTTTGCTCATAATTTGCTTTTTTGTAAGATTACATTTCTTACAGAAATGTCTCATGGTCGAGATAAATATTCCACAATCTTACCGCATTTGAGAATTATTCATCATTCTTTATCAATCGACATAAATTTAGTTCAGTACATTTCCATGGGAGTAAAGCTGACTTATTCACTCGATCAGTATATTCGCCTGTTCCATATAAAGTGGTTCACAAGTAATTGGTTCTTGTAAGGCATTGGCAATAACCACACTGTTTGATTTAACTGTTTTAACAATCTAAATAGTCATCAATATTTGATCGAATTTCGATTTGGTTTAATTCAAGTCTGAATAATTGCCTAAGTTGAAATGAAGAAATCAATGAAATTAGAAAAATAGCGTGTGTGTGACATTAAACAACAAAATATACAACATAGAACATAACAAACGTTTATTAAACGAAAAAGATGTTTGGTGCGAGCGTTCTCCTACGTTGGGTTTCTCGTGACTTGAAAATTAAAAAAGAATACGAAAAACGACGTCGAGATGAAAAAATAAAGCAATATGAGGTGGAAAATCAAACCGTTTATGATGAAATAGATGGAAAAATCGAGTCAATTGATTCAAAAACTCCATTTATTTATCGATTTATTGAATATTGGGCATTTTTGGAATGTCTAGGTTGGATCGTTATTTTGTTCGCAAAAAGGGAAGTAGATTTCCCGGAAAATTTCTTGTATGGAATTTGTGACGAAGATTGTGAGGGTGCCATTTCTAAGGCCATTATTATCAAGCTTGTTGTGACAGTTTTGTTAGTTATTGGTTGCAAAATTGTAAGTGCCAATCATTTGCATGATTAAAATTGTTGAAAGATAATTTTCAAACTTCAATATTTTAGAAATTCACCATATTTATGCTCCCATGGTTCTTGGTCAATGTGTCTGGTATATTTGCTGCCTGGGAAGTGGCAGTTTCAGCGTTTTGGGAATGTGAGTAAAGTATTTTTTTAAATTCTATTTACATTACTGTTTTGTAATTTTTTGGCTTGGAAAAATAGTAGAGAAGGCATCTCAATAAAACCAAGGTCATAAATTGTTACAAGATCTTTTCTTTGCTATTTTGTAACCAAATATAGGAGAAAAAGTAAATTTTTCGTTTAATCGAAGTAATTTTATTTCCAAATATTTTTTCTTGGTTTGGTCAGATCGAGACTTGAATACAAGATTGCTCACAGTGGAAAAATTATGGAAATCTCAACAATAACCCTGATTGCTGCCACAGACATAAAGTTGCCGTATTTAGAATGAAAAACTCATCATCATTTTGGACATTTTCCTGTTCTTAAAAGACTATGTTTTACCTATTTTCAAAATTCAAGCATTTGTTTAATAGTTTTTTTTACCCACACATTTACAGTCCAAATTTTTTTACCTATTTTTGATTCAAACTAAACTATGACTACTGTAAATTTTACATACAAAAAGATGCGTAACTACATAGAGAGAAATTAGGTTGGTACGATTGCAGATGACGTTTGGAATACGTCAAAAAGCAACTTTTCTTCTATGGTGGTTGCGATTTGTCCAAATTTTTTGTAATTTTTAATGGTTGCAAACTTCATAACCGCCATATTCCAAAAGTCATCTGCAATCGTACCAACCGAATTTCTCTCTGTGTATAAAACAAAATTTACATAAAATGGAGTTTTATTTTGCCTTTATCAGGTTAATTACTCACGTTCGAAACGGTATTCCCCTCCAAATTTCAACCTCAAAACAATCTACTCCTCTGTAGCCGCAGCTATTATCGCTTGCGTCGATATCTGATTCACTAGTAACGAAAAGATTTTCCAAAAATGGAACCTTTTCAGCCAATTTCAGAATCTTTTCCGTGTGTTAAACGCGTATCTAACGATGAATAATTTTTTCAAGCTCGAAACGGTATTGAAAGGAAAACTGTTGCACTCAACGTCGTTCCATTCCAATCTTATTTGACAATTCGGAATGATGATCGAAGAGAACGATCGAAATTCAATTCTGGAGTTTGGCATTACTTTTGCTTTATCAACATTTAACCAACTAACCATCTTATCATTTAATTGCTCAAGTACCACTTTTCCGCTCAATTTTGGTTGAAAACAATAATTCATCACTACCGGCGATAATCGATTCTTTTTATTATTCATTGCAACTACTCCAGGCGAGATTTCATCGCTTTTGCCACCAGTAAACACATTTATTTTTTTGATTGATTTTAGACAGGTGGCAACTCTTCAAAGTTAGACAAAGTGGATTTTGTATTCCAAGCGTTTATATTCGTTTTCTTATCTCTTATTCTTCCTCGTTTTTTTAATCAAATCTAAAAAATCATATCATTAACGACAAAGTCCGAAACAGTAAAAAATTAGTTTTGCTTTCTTCTCTTCATTTCTTGTATTCATTGTGTTTCTATGTGCACTAAGCAGTCATGGTGGCACTCTCATAACATCAGTTCCGTTGATCGTCTCGACGAACCAGAATAAAATCAACATAAACGCCATTGGACTGAAAGTTACCGAGCGGCATTGGTGGTTTGACGTCATTGTTCCATGCCAATGGAATGACCAAAATCAAATATTCAATCAAGACGTAATTGACTGATGGATGCAATCGTAATGTTCGGCCGATATTTTCATTTAGAAATAAAATTTTAACGAGACAAAAGAAGCCTGGGGTCATTGTTTCAAAGATACGAAAAAAAGAGATGTTTTACCGTCGAAAATCGGAATTTTCGCGCTAAATTTAATTCTTTATGGCACAAAGCACAAAATTGCCAATTAGAAGACCGGCTTTTGGTGGCATCGCCTCATGTAAATACGTTGCAAAAGAAAGTTCTAACTTCGAGAAACTAGTTTTATATTCGAGTGTATGCGTGAAGCGTATTGTCGGTGTCGATGCCATAAAAGCATTTGCATGCAGCAAAGTCAGCCCATTCCATCGTGATCATCGTTGTGACATCGTATTTTGTGTGGATTCTCAAGAAGATTCTTTTGTGTGGCGTGAAGTGATCAAGTGAAATAGTTTGGTTCTATTGTTCAATTCGGAAATAACGGTTTCAAGCTAGAAAAAATGAGTTTTAATTTAATCGTTGCAGGTGAATACCAAATTCATAGTCATTTATCAAATTGATAGATTGCATTTTTGAAAAAGATTCAAATTTTTTTATTTTTTCATAAGAAAAATGTGTGATGTCTTGGAAAATCTTGTGGAAGTCAGTCGCCCATAGGAAATAATGAAAGGAAATTTTGCTAGAATTCAAATATTGAATAGAAGATCATTGAGAATTATTTCAGAATGGAAAACATTTTTGAAGAAAAAAAAAGATTTCATTCATTTCATTATATTAAGTTGAGTTCGACTATTTGTAATCGTAACTTTAAGTTTAGGTTGATTGGTGTGCGATCAATACTTAAAACAATTTTTATTCTGAAAAAATTCCATCGCATGATTCAAGTTAACTTGACTATGGATTGGCATATTCCACTAGATACATTTTTATCAGCTTCAAACTTCAGTGAACCAAATAAATTGCCATTTAAAATCCGATTCAAGTCTCAATCGAAGCTTCAAAGCATCCAAAAATTGGTCGAATGTTAAATAGTATCTTCAAAACCGTAGGAAAGTAATTAAGTCTACGGCTGAGTGTCGCTAAAACTAAGCTATTTTAAACAATTTATTTGAAAACCAGACACAATCGACACGAAAACAAGACACAGTTAAGTTTGATGAATTGATTTAATTATTGATCTTAAGTTTTATCAAAGAATCGGCCTACAAATTCAAGAAGGAAGAATGGAAGTTTCTTCCATTTATCTATTGGTAGAATCAAAAACCAAAAACATCTCTTCATGTGAAGAGAAAGGTTTTTGAAATAAAAATAGACGAGTGTCGAAAAACAGCATGGAAAAAATTCAAAGTCAATGTCTGACAATTCTGTGGCGCCTCTGAATATGGTCCAAAAAATCAATAACACACTCTTGAAAAATAGTAGTAAAACGACGGTGATAAGTATCAAAGTTTGGTGTACGTGCGACCAGTTTGCTGAAACCGGTGTTTTGATCGAATAAGAACGAGATAATCGAGAATGTTGCGTTTTTTTGTCTTCATTGCCTTCTCTGTTCATTTGTTTGAACGAATAAAACTACCGTTATGTCCATAAACATTTATTTAAGTGCGCGAATGCAAACGAAATAAGTCAATACTTCTTCGATTTCGAAGACGTAACAAGGAGGAAGAGAAAAGATAGAGTGGAAGAGACAGAGAGGGAGAAAGTAACAAAGCAAAACACCGAAAAAAGAACGAGTAAAAGAAGGAAAGAGAGACGAAGAAAGAGACATATAAAGAGAGAAAGAGAAATAGGAAGAAAGAAAGAAAGAAGAAGAACGATAAAAAGAGCGAAAAAGAAGGTATGGAGAAAGAAAGAAAGGAAAGAAGAGAAAGAAACATTCTCGATTGCGTAAACAAAGGCCGCGATATCAAACTGTAATAGTCAATAGAGTTATGCAAATGAATGAAGATGCCAACGTTGAACCGAAAACCAGAATCGCGCACACAATTTGCAAGAATGTTGGTGTTGTCAGTGCCATCGAAGTCGAATGACAAACAAGAATCGATGCAAAGTTCAATGACAAGATCGATTCGATGCTCGTTTCGCATATCTTAGCGAAATGTGTGCGGGTGAAAGACCTGTTTTATTAGATGCTTGTTATAAAGGTGTTCCTTTTATCCGTAGTTTTGAATTCGATCGGCTGTTATTTTGCTCTTTTTACGCTTTCTTCGACTGCGCACTGCGCAATTCAAAATATTCACTTGACCTCTGGATGTCATATCGTATTTAACCATTGTAAAATGCGCAAAAAATCATTCGCTTCTTGAATATTTTCTATTTTTACGTGAGAAGTTGCATTTTATTTAAGGAATAGTTCTTTACACTAATTTTTTTTTGCTGTATTTCTTCAATGTTCTCAACATTTTCCCTATGTTCGGATCGTAATCAATTAATCCTATCTTTTTCACCATAAAAATCAAATCTTTGCTCATCAAATTGAAATAACTTTGAAAAAAAAATAACAATTTTTTGCCGTAGTTACATTTATCTCAAATTTCTTCAACGTTCAGGCATTTTGCTGCTACTCTCGCATGATATCAATGGTTCTCCGCCGCGTGACTCCCGTGACATTCATAACAAAGAGATTGTTGGCCAAGCGACAAATATCATAACATCAAAACTGCTCAAAAGCAATATCGAAAACAACAAAAACACTGTATTCTCACCGATTGGCTACGCTTCGATTTTGGCCATTCTAGGTGAAGGTGCACAAGATGACACAAACAATGACATCAACACAATGTTGAAGCATCCAAATGATCGTGCTCTGGTGCGAAGTGCCTATCGAACCGTTTTGACTCATTTGCAAGGAAAGGACCCACAAGTGGCTCCACAATTCCGCAGCTGGTTCTACATTTACAAGAACAACAGCATCGATGACGCCTACCGTCAGATTCTTGTGAATGACTATTATGTCTCGGTTAAAGAGGTTGAACCATTCAACACTCCCGATTTAGGGCAAACGGAAGAAGCAGCCACACAACAACCTTTTGTCAAACCAGCCGCAGAGGCAACTGAACAACCAGCATCAGAAAAAAACGTAGAAAAAGCCGAAGAACAAGTTGAAGAAAAAACCGCCATCAAAACATCCGAAAGTCAAGTTCAAGTCAAACCAGAAAAAAAACCAACCAACAGCAAAGACATCGTTGAGTTTGATTCATTCAAAAACGAAGCCGGTCTAGCCGATGAGACTCGCTTGGATACACAAAACGATCCATCGAAATTCGACGAAGTCATTGAAGATCGCCAATATGTCGAAGTACCACTGATCAAAGACGAAATGAAAATGGTTGACGAAAAAGAAGCTGTTAAAACACAAACAGTCGAAGAAAAAAAGGTTCCCGAAAAACCCGTTGTCAAAGCCAAACATGAAGTGAAAGGTGTGAAAAAATCACTTCTGCCAATCAAACATTACGAAGAAATGGAAATCATGCAAGCGGCCGAGTCAAGATTGGGAAAAGTCGTAAGAAATAAACATAGATTTTTATATTTTTGCGATCTTCGTTCAAAGCCATTTAATTTTTCAATAAAAAAAATTACATTTTTCTGGATTTTTAATCAATTTTCTCTCTTTATTTCTGACAAGTTTGGCGGAAAATTCGGCGAAGGCGCTTCAATCATCAGCGGCAACTCAATCGTCGGCGAAAAAGAGAACCTCGATGAAAACGAAACAGAGATCTACGAACCAAAGATGTTGGTATTCAACGGATTGTACTATCATGGCAATTGGGCCACACCATTCCAGGTAAATTTAGTTTATTCGTTCAAAATTCAATTGATTTCATTCTTGGTCTGAAATTAGTGACTTAGTCAGTAGACTAACTGTTACTCTTTGGTTTTCCAAAGGTCTTTTCAATACACATTTAGTTAGAGTAAAAGTGTTTTAATACTTAATTTTTACATTTCGACAGCATTTGAGAGATCAAAACACAGAAAATACCTTCAACACTGCTGATGGTCAAAAGATCCCAATTAAAATGATGAAAGCTCAAGGCTATTTCAAAACTGGGAACATTCAGAAGTACAACAGCGAAGCCATCGAATTCCCGTATGATGTAAGTTATAACATTTTGCGTTTCTTTGAAGATTTTTGCAATTTTTCTAACAATTTTCCGAACATTTTGAACTTTTCAACTTTTCAACTTTTCAACTTTTCAACTTTTCAACTTTTCAACTTCGTTTGTTTTTTTCTTCTTTAATTTTTCAAAATGATTTTTCTACAAATTTTTCACTCAAATAGCGAAATTTTTCCATTTTTTCACCCAAATCTATTTTTTCTCTCTTTCTCTCCGTCACTCACAGAATATCCGTTACTCAATGCTTGTGGTTGTTCCACAAGTTGAAGACGGACTGAAAAAATTGATCAATGACTTCAACTCGAACACACTCTCTGACATTTGCGGCGAATTGCGAGAAGAATTTGTCACCGTTAGCCTGCCGAAATTCGAGGTGCAAACGACAAGTGGAGCCGAAAAGGTGTTTGCCAAAGAAGGTTTGGCATCGTTATTCACATCAAAGGCTGATTTCGGCGGAATTTCCAAATCGAAAAAGCTTCACATTGGTGAACTTCAGCAGCATGTCAACTTGCGTGTCGATGAAACTTCTAGTACCGAAAACTTTTTGACTGCCTCAATCGCTCAACGGTCTAAGATCCCGGTAAATGACCGTTCGGTCATCATCAATCGACCATTCTTGTTCTTCGTTCGCGATCGCATCGACGATGTCACCATAATCGCCGGCAAAATTACATCATTGGAAGCATTCGCTGCCGATGAACCAGAAAATTCTCAATAAATTCGGCTCGAAATTAATTCAGCTTGTGATAAGGATGGTTTAAACGGTCAATTTCATTTGATTTAGATTAATTTGAAAATAGACAACTTAGAAAAATGAAAAGAAAAAAAGACTTTAAATTTCTTTCAATACTCAACATAATATAATGTATTATCATTTAGTTAAACGAAATAAAATAAAGAAACAATTTGTAGTTGGATTTGCTACAACTTAAATGGAATTTTTAGTCTATGCTTTTGATTATTTTCTGTAAAGTTATTGTAAGTTGTCATGGCGTTTATTACTAGCCATGATATGGACAATTTGTCATTGGAAAAACGTTTTACGTCTGAATTTTTGATACATCGCCATCGCCTCAGCCCGATGTGATCTTAGATACCGTTTTAGCGTCGCATTCACGTAGAACTTCGCCAGCATTTCCCTGGACTGAAAAGCAAATTCAAATTTATTCTCATTTTAATATCAATCTTAATTCTTTCAACTTGAATCAGAATTCGAATTCCAACTGCAAAATTAGTAGCTACGTTGGTAAAAATGTACTTGTGAAAGTAAAACGTCATAATTTCAACGGAAACATTCACAGTATTGCAAAAATCAAGTAGTCTTACTGTTCCAATGGTCCGCATATTCATGTGCTGTTTTCCCTTCATTGTCTTTAACGTTAACATCGGCACCGTGTTCGATGAGAATTCGAATGAAATCACCATTTCCTGAAACGAAAACCGATTAAGAGCGTTTAATGGATATCAATTATGAATTTCATGAACGACTTCATGAATTCATCATGTTTTACTCATTTGTATGGTGCAAATTAATAACGTATATGAAAATTCAGTAACTTGTTGACGATAATTTTGTCATACCATTCGAAGCAGCATCATGAAGTGGTGTGAATCTATCTTCATTTTTGGCTGCGACATTTATTCCATTTTCGATAAGTATTTTGGCAACATTCGTTTGACCTAGTTTATTGAAATGTATCGAATTATTATTTAAAGTTTAAGCTTTGCGACAATTCGAAATTCCAAATAAATATATTTTCAACGGAATTCGAAGTGGATCAACGAAAAACCAATCATTTAATGAATTTAAATCAAATTACCAGTTTTGGCCGCCCAGAGAAGGGCTGTGTCTCCTTTGAAATTTATTGCATTCACATTCACACTTTTGGCAATCATCATTCTTACGACGTCCACCATACCATTAGATGATGCCCAATGCAATGGCGTGGTTCCGGTATGACAGTTGATATTTACGTCAGCTCCGTTTTCAATGAGAACCTTGGCGACATTTGCATGGTCTGTAAGCAATAAAAATTGAATTCATTCAGATTCAGTAAATAAATCGATTCAGTAGATGATCGAATTAATGGGAGTTGAATCAAATGAAAAAAGTTGAATAAATTTTCATGAAACAATGAAAACTATGGTCTGATTGAACAATCATTTGCAATAAATCGTAACAAATTGGGATCCGTTCATATAATTACAGTGCTCAACAGCGTTGAAAAGGGGCGTCTGTTCAAGATGAGTTTTGGCATTTATTTGAGTGTCACTTTTTATCAGAAGCACAGCAACATTTACCGAACCTGTAAAGAATTTAACTGTCAATAACCGTTCCTATTCTCTATTTTGTATAAGAAATGACCATTCTCTGCAGCCAAATGAAGTGGCGTTTTTCCATCTCCATCCTTCGCATCAATTTCCGCATTATTTTCGAGAAGAAACTTTGCAATATCCGCATTATCTTTGCATGCAGCAGTATGAAGAGGAATTCTTCCAGATGCATCTTTGGCGTTGACGTTAGCACCACTTGCAATAAGAGCTTTGACAACTTCTATTTCATCTAGGGATTTTCGATTTTTTTTTATCAACGTTTCGTTTTATTTTTTTATTTTCAAATTTCATCACTCTCTATGAAGTTTTCGAAATTTTCGAAGGAACTATCCTGTTTTGATCAATCAAAGTATCAAAGAGTATTTGAAAAAACCAGAGGAGATATTTACCAAACAAAATGGCCGCGTGCAATAATGTTCTCTGTTCATCATCTTTGCCATTTACATCGGCTCCAATTTCAACAAGAATATTTTTGAAATCCATTTGACCTGGACGATCATTGAAAAAATCCAGTCGTCGATTTTTAGCTAAGAATGATTCATTTTAGATCAATAACTTCACTTGTTCAAAAACGATTAAATAGAACTTCACTCACCTTTTTCAGCCGGCGCATATAATTTCGAGAGTATTTTCAGAATACTACCGCCAAAATGATCATTTGGTGTTTTTCCTTCGCCATTCTTTATATTGATTTGAGCACCATTTGCGATGAGAATTTTAGCAATATCAGTTTTGTCTGTGCAAATGATTGAAAATCAAAGAAATTAAGGTTTGGTTTACACAATGCTATTAGAACCAACAGCTACTAGTCTAACACTACTTGGTTATCAAAAAAACCGTCAAGAGAGCGCCAACAGTTCCCCATTGGAATGTCCATAAGAAAGCGCGCTCTCTATGGCAAATTTCGCCATTTTTCAACAAAAAGTGTGCACTGCTATACGCTGTTGATTAAAACTCTCTCTTTCGACCAGAGGAGTGAATTTGCTGTTCAATAGCAGTTTTCAACAGTAGTTACGTTTCTATACATGCAACCTGGTGACGTTGGTGCGCGAGGCTTACAGTGTGTCCCATGCATAGGAGCGAAACGAACAATAGCAGCTGCGCAGCCAGAAAATTCACTACTTTGCTCTCGACACAAATATAGTCTGGAATTACCATTGTATGTGTAGTGAAGTGTCGTATCTCCACTGGTATTTTGAGCATTAACATTGGCACCGCGTTTAATCAAAGCTTTAGCGATATTCGTCATACCGTAGCGTGTTGTTCGATGCAATGGTGTGTCCCCATCTTTATTACTAGAATTCACATCAGCCCCACACTCAATCAAAATCTCTGCAACATTCGCCTGATCTGAAGGGGACAATTTTGGGCTTTAAAATAACTCTCATGTTATCTTAAATAAAAACTATTAGATTGTTTCTCGTTTTTTTTTTCTTTCTTATTTTCCATTTTCACTGACTCATTCTCACGAAAAACTGAACCTTCTTCACCTATTTCTTCTTTTACAAAAATCAAAATTTTGAGAAAAATTTAAAACATTTACTATTATCGATGGCTATGTTAAGTGCTGTGTCACCGCATCTGTCTTTTGTGTTCACATCAGCACCTTTTTCGATAAGTATTTTGGCCAAATCCGCTTGATCTAGAAAAAAAAGGTAAATAAAATCCAAGGTAAATTGGACTGCAAGTAGAAAATTTTGGATTGTTAACTGTTCGATTATTGAACAATTAAGTCGTTCTCGATTCAAAAATCTTGAACAGAATCAAGTTCGCGATAACATCCGAATGAAATTTTAAGGTTTTTATTGTTCATGTTGATTGAATTCATTCATTCATTCATTCGAAAATACCATTGTAAGCAGCCGTAAAAAGTGGTGTTTGTTGGAAATAATTTTTAATATTCACATCAGCACCGCATTGAATAAGAATTTTGGCCACTTCCACGTAACCTGCGAAGAAAGTGGATTGATACATTGGTGTTGATTTGTTGATGGGTGGTATCGATAAATACAATTTAAATAACTAATTTTGCTTTTGCCATCCAAAATAGTTTGGTTTTAATACAAAAATTGTTCGATTTACCAGTAACTGCTTTATATAGAGGTGTATCTCTTTCTCCTGTGCGGCCTTGAGCATTAATATCGGCTCCATTCTCGACGAGAGCTTTAACAAGATCTGCATTCTCTAAACGAGTCAAGCCTCGATTCCATGTATTACTTTACATTAAAGCCATCAAATGACTGCTGCTAGCGACGTCTCACTGTGACAACGTTAACTACAGTATACACCGTGCACTTCTTCTTCTTCTTCTTCTTCTTAACTTATGCCACTTTTTTCTGTTGTGAGTATGAAGCTTACGTTGTCGCAGTGAGATGTCGCTTCAGCACCATATGGAAAAAGAAATCAAGACTCGAAACGAGTATAAGAACATCTATCATTTTGTCTGCAAGCCAATTTTATTAGAAAAAGTATTTTTTTTCTTCTTTCGGGCTTTATCCGACGTTCAAAGTGCTTCAAAATTATATTTCCGCACAAATAACAATTAAACAAATTTTGAATTCGTTTAGAAGAATTGCAGCTCTTACGTGGAGAATTTTGGTTTTACTATCAAAAATGTTACCATTTAATGTGGCCTCGTGAAGCAATCCTCGAAGTTTCCTTGGGTCTTGTTTTGCAAGATTTTTTATTATTGCTTTCATCTTCGGAACATCGCCTGGTGAATTTTTTATTTATTTGAATCAGTAAAAAAGAAATAATGGTCAAGTCACGGTAAACAAAGACATAAGTTTAAACTCAAATTAAAATAATTGTCATTGAACACTACTTGCAATATGTACTCGATTTTCATTTCAATTTTGATGAAATTATTAACTTTCAATTCATTTGTTAATACACTACCATTTTCGGTGGCTTTTTTAAGCTCGTCTCTCCATTCGGTATCCATTTTCACAATTTCGTCAATGTATCGGTATTTTTTTCAAACTCAAATCAATTCAGTTTCTAATTCAATTTATTTAAAACAAAATTTCAACTAAGAAACAACCACACCCATCACTTTTCTGTCTTCATACACATGTTGACTGTATCGATTTTGGATTCGAGTAAAATCAGTTCGGAATGTTGAAGCGTTCACAACATTATGTCACTATGATTCCAACGTTGGTGATTACTTCATCGCTCAATTTGGAAATGATTGAATTTGTTTCTAATTTTATGATGTGCTCGTATTATTTCATTACATGTTCGTCAATTGTTCGCCGATATTTCCAATCAATCGGCGGTTATCTTATCCAATTAAAACGATTGTTGGCAATGCCACTGAATTTGTTGATAATATTTTTCGAAGAAATGTGATAAAGCTACTAAAGAGTTCTGAAGTGAAGAGCAAATGATGAATTCTAGTGCAAAATAATACAAAGGATAATTCAAGTGAAAAACAAATAAACAAACTGATAAGCAATTAAATTGAACCGCTAAGTCTACGTTTTAATCTTTGCTAAGTTATTCTTCATGCGATTCCGCATTGACTTTTACAGTGGATATTCAGTGCTTGTTTGGGTTCATACGTTTGAACGAGTGCAAAGCAAATGCCAAGAATAGACGGTTCAGTGTGTTTCACAGCTGACGCTCGATATTTTATTATTGCGAAGTTCGCAATGAATAACATACGAGTCTACACTCTAAACTCTACCGTCTCGTTCAATACAACCATCGCATTGAAGGTGGAAATTTGTTGTTATATGAGTCAGTAGATAACGCTATAAACTGTATTTATCAAACACGCTAATATTTATCAACACAAACAAAACCAAACTGATCAAATAGTCGAATCGGGTTGAACATTACTCAAACAATTGTTCCGGTATGGCAAAGAAAACAAATTAAACTAAGCAGAATATGTGTTGATTATCAATTGATCAGGTCGCCTGATTCAGGTAGTCTTTATGAATTTAAAAAATTCCCGCATTTCAATACATTGAAAAACTTCGATTAATGGCTTTTTTTTACTAGCAAAGTGGTCGATTGAACCATTTTTCCATTCAAAGTAAAATGAATTGCATTGCATTAACATACATTGAAATTGTTCACTTCGTATTTCTCTCTCTATTTTTCTAATATTCATTCGGTATCACGATGTTCATGGCACTTCACTCACACTATCTCAAATGCGATGTTCTAGGGAGAATTCACGAACTGCGAATGGTGCCAGTTGTGCGAATGGTCGAATGCTAGTATGTTCGCGAATGTTTGCGAATGGTTACGAATGGCACTACAAATACACACGAGCATCACATTATTTTAAACTCGTCCAGAAATTCTTCATTTGATTTAGTATATGACTGTCATTCTCTTTTCTATGCGTCCATTATTGAAGCTTTGTTCGTAATTTAGATAACAGTCGAGTAAAAGCGATATTGCGACATCTATTCTCATCGAGACGAGCTAAATAATGTCTAAAACGTCACACAAATCGGAGACAACTTCAGGGAGAAGCGCACAAAAATGGACGTGTATAAAGCTAGACGCCTTTGACCATTAGTGTTATTCGTGAAGTGAAAGCGTAACACACAGTTTGTTTTATGCGAAGTTTCAATTAAAGTTTTAAATTTGTATATTTTCCAGTCTCAAAAATAACTATAAATTGTAAAAAAGGATAAAAATAAAACAAGAAGAAAGTTTAAACGAACGCAAACAGAAGAAAACAACACAAAATCAACGACGATCAGGATGAGCAATCGTGAGAATGGTGGTGAAATCAACGAGAAATTGAAGCGGCAAAAACCAAGTGACGTCAATCCGGATGAAATTGTCGTTGCTGTGGACGTCCAGAACGAAGAATCGCTGCCGGCTATTTTCAAGCTGAATGCCATCTGCTGTGACGATCTATTTGAGTGGCTCTCAATTGAAGATCTGCATTCACTCGGCCAAACATGCAAGCGAATGCATCGACTCACCAGTCTCTTTTTTCAAGAGAATTTTAGAAATGCGAAAATTGGATACAGAAATCAAACTGTTTATTATGATGATGGTCAGAGTAGTCTGAATGGTTTCATTCAAAATGTCCAGAGTGTACAATTCCGGGCCTCCAAAAAGGAAGATTTACAGTATATCGGCGAAAATTGTGATTCACTTCGAGAAATTCATTTTGAATGCGTTGAATTGACTCAAACAATGGTAAATTGCATCCAAATGAAACTGGATCAAGTGGAAACGGTTAGTTTTTTAAATTCATCATCAGAAACTGAATTTTACGCGGATTTCTTAAGATTTTGTCCAAATTTGAAGACTCTTTGCGTTGAAAGCTATGACCTTGGAAGTAAATGGATGTGTCACGAATACCCAAAACTTGAGCATTTGTCGCTCCTCTTTCCCACTTGTATTTCTGAACAAAATCTTGAAATTTTTCTACAGAAAAATGTACATCTTCAAAGTTTTGACACCGATTATTCTTTTCTTGTACAACACGGTCACATATTCATCGATTCCAAATTGAAATTGGATGTTTTAAATCTTTTTATAATCGATTGGTCCGAATTGGATGACCTTCACTTGTTATTAAATGAACTTTATGATAATGGATTTTATAAGCAGTTAGAATGTGAAATATACACCGGTATGACCGATTATAATCAAGCTTGGGGTGATCAAATCGCCACATTTCGTGGTCTTGTAAAGTTATGCGGCGATGAAGCACATATTGCTTTTCCAACGATTGTTAGCCTGAAAGAATTGGGTATTTTTAATGAAAATTTGGAGGACATTGACCTAGAAGCAATGACGGTGTCTTTTCCAAATCTACACCAAGTGCATTTGGGTGACATATCAACAATAGATCAGGTTCTTCCATTTATTCGACGATTACCTAAATTAAATGAACTCTGTATTCGAAATTATGTTGGAACTGGGCGATTTGAAATTGATCTATCATTACTGAATGAGGAGCGTAAAAAGTTGGCCGGAGCATGCAAAGTTACCATTTATTTACCAGAAGGTGTTTACTTGGAAACGAAAATGGCACCGAAAAACTTATACACCAATCACGATTTGATTGAAATCAAACGCATTGAACAGCTCAATAGAAAATTCTTGTATATCGATTGATTGAGTTTGCTGTTCCATTTTAATTCGGTCATCTGGCGCTGCTTCCGAAACAATGCGTGTATTCAGCAAAAAGCGTCAAGTTTGGAATGGAATGCGCACAGTTTGTAGTATTTTCTAAGTTGGTAAATGTAGAGGCTTTTGTTGCAGTGGTAAATAGAAATAATAACATTTGGAAAATAGCTTCTAAACATTATGAATTGTAATAATATTAATAAAGAATGTTTTACTTAAAAATGCTCGAATGTGTCAATTTAACATGGGAATAATTGAATAAATATGTTTTTGTTGAGAAAGACCTCATGATCAAATAAAAATCCAAGTCGATGAAATTGTTTTCTTGGCGCTTGTAAAAGTAGATTTTTTCTTGAGTTTGGTCAACTTGCGCGACCATTTTGCTCCAGAAATATTGAGAATGAGCCAACGGATAGAACTATCGTAAGTCAACAATTCTCTTAAAGTTGAAAGTTGTCTCAAACTGCACATAATTAGCAATTAGTGTTGTTGTCGAAATGAAGGAGAGTAATAAGTAGCATAGAGTTTTAATCCTTTTTTTTGTAGAAATATGACCCAAAGTCATATTTTAAGCTGTGCTATCGCCATGAAAACTTTGGTCCTTTTTCCATCATACACCAAAATACATAATCTAGGCCTGCTTCAGAAACATTTAAGTGGAATTTTCAGCTACCCTTTATACGATTATACGATGTTCAACTCAAATACAGGGATGAACTAAATAGTAGGTATCGAATCTGGCGCAAATATTGAATTTCTAAATGTGGATTAAATCCAAAGAACCTGATGTACTGGCGACTGGCAGGCGGTGACTTCTAATTATTTCGACCGAAAAATCTAATCCTCGTGTCATACCAATCGCTGCTCTGTTTAAAAAATGATATAAAATATCGCCGAATATTTCTGTTAGCGTTAGTATTGTTCATGAAGTGAAAGCGTAACATACAGTTTGCTCTCTACAAATTTTTTGAACTTTTTTTTATTGGATAAAACTTGATTAACTCAAGACAAAGTATAAGTTTACAAGTGCAAACAAGTGATTGAAAAAGAATTAACAAAGAAAAAAGTTCAAATAGAAAGAGAAACACTTCAAAATAGTAAATTTTGAACCAACAGGATGAGCAAGCGTCGGAACAACGGTAAAATCAACAAGAAATCGAAGTTTCAGAAGCCAAACTTAATGTCACCGCCTGCCATTTTTAAGCTCAACGCCATTTGCTGTGACGATCTCTTTGAGTGGCTATCTATCAGTCTACGATCTGCATTCACTCAGCCAAACATGCAAACGGATGCAACAGCTCACCGGTGTCTATTTCAAAGAGAATTTTAAAAAGGCAAAAATTGAATGCAGTGATCAAAATATTTGGTATGATTTTAGAGAATTGAATGGGTTCATTCAACATGTCCAGAGTGTAAGATTTTGGCATTCCAAAAAGAAAGATTTCCAGTTCATCGGTACAAAGAAATCGAGAAATCTGTTTCGATTCTGTTACTTTAACTGAAGCCAAGATAGATTGCATCAAAGGAAAACTGGACAAAGTCGAAACTATTTGTTTTTTAGGTTCGTCACCGAAAAATGGATTTAACGCGGATTTCTTAAATTTGTGTCCAAATTTGAAGAGTCTTTACCTTGAGAGTAATTTCTCGCTGAATAGTGGATGGATGTGTCACGAATACCCAAAACTTGAGCATTTCACGTTCCTCTATCCTAATCACATTTCGAGTCAAAATATTGAAATTTTTCTACGTAAAAATGTACATCTTCAAATCTTCGGAACAAACAATCGATTTCTTCTGAAAAACAGTGACATTTTCATCAATTCCAAATTAAAATTGGATGTTTTGATTATTGATATTTCTTCAAACGGTGACTTGGATGACACCATCACTTTATTAAACAGACTTTACGATAATGGATTTTATAAGCGATTGGAATGTACACTTTTCCAGCTTAGTTGAAGCTCCTTTTGTTCTACCAATGATTGTTAGCCTCAAAGAATTAGGTATTTTTAATTTAGATATGGACACCTTTGACTTTGAAGCAATGGCAATGTCTTTACCAAATCTACAACAATTTCATTTGTGCGAAGCATCAACAATAGATCAAATCCTTCCATTTATCCGACGATTACCCAAATTAAAGGATGTCAGCATCGATTTTTTCAAGGCAGAGTTCGGATTTTATATTGATTTGTCAACATTAAACGAACAACGTAAGAAGTTAGCCAAAGCATGCAAAGTTACCATTTATTTACCAGAAGGTGTTTACTTGGAAACAAAAATGGCACCGAAAAACTTATACGCCAATCACGATTTAATCGAAATCAAACGCATTGAACAGATCAATAGGAAATTCTTGTATAGCACACTTGGGTAGCGGTCATAAGTCCGCAAAATCCTCCATCCATCCATCCATCCAATCATTTGAGGATCAATATCCATTCATCATCCATTCACCATCCAGTCATTCAGTGGATGGATGGAGGATTTTGCGGACTTATGACCGCTAAATTCAATTTTCCCAGAAAAATTTAGATTTTGCTTTGTGCTTTGGTTTGAAAATATCGAATTTCTATGTTGACACTGAAAAAAAATTGACCTTAAATGAAAACCGCAGTCAATCTTCCGAACAAAGCTATAACAATGTGCCAAATTGTTGCCATTTTCCCTTTTGAGTTTGCTGTTTTGTTTTAATTAGACAATCTGAAAAACTTGGTGCGTTTGGGTTCATCCAAAAGTAGAACTAACGAAAATTGAATTTGATGTATGAATTGTAATCAAAACTAAATAAAATAAACTAAATGCTTGAAAATGATTTGTTTTCTTTTATTTTTCCGTTTTTTAGTCGTTAAAACCAAAAATATCCCATTTGATCAGGTTCATTGGATGCAGCACATGTTCTGTTTGTCTTAATTAATATTGTGACACTTATCATACAACCTCGTTTAATTGAAAAACCAATCACTTTCTGTGCTTTCGGCCAGCTTCTTCCAGAATGGTCGCAATCCATGGGTAACCTAAAAAAAATTAATGTTTTTTTTAAAGAAAAAATTGATTTTATTTTAAAATCAACTTAATTCAAATGCTCATTCAATTTTCCCAAAAAAAAATTCAAATCGTCGCCTCAAAATCTGAAGTTCGAACAGTTTACCATATTCAATCGATAATTCGAATGGAATCTTCCCTTTGCCGTTCACACTGAAGATGTCAGCTCCCTTCTCGATAAGAAGTTGAACAACGGCTGTGTTGCCTATAACAAAGATTCGACAACAAAACTATAATTTACTTGGACGTTACTTGGTGACATGAATTCAGCCGGTTTACTGGATTACCAACCATTGGCAGCTGTTAAATGAAGTGCAGTGTTTCCGCCAGAATTTTTCGCATTAATATCGGCTCCATTATGTAGCAAAATTGTCATTACATTCAAATAGCCTGGAAATATTCAATGCGTTTATTGAACAACATATGTTTCAGACGCTGCTGATTTTCATAATTTTTTCATTTGTAAGAACAATGGATCGGTAAATACCATTCAATGCAGCGATGTGGAGTGGTCTCATATTGTTTGACATACGAGCGTTCACATTGGCTCCTTTTCCAATGAGAACACTGACAACATCCGCAAAACCTGCGAAGGAAATGATTTAATCAAAACTAAGTAATAATAAAATTAATTCTGATCTAGAGTATATTGGAGTTAGAAACACTATGTTCCAAACAAAACTCAGTTAAGTTGAGAAATTCGTTCAACACAATCAAAAGGTACGCACAGTACATAAGAGCCAATGCAAAAGTCAATTAATGCGCATAAGTAGCGCCACCTCTAATGATTACGGAGAGTTACCATAAGTGGTATGCAATTGATGTTAAGAAAAAGAAGAAGAAGAAGTAGACATTATTATTCATTTACATGGCAATAATGGCAATCAGTAGAGATGGTGCTCATGTGCCGATCATACCCTTCGAGTTCAATGAAGCGCAATGGTAATATATTCAGCAAATTCACTGACTTGAATCATGAATGATGTTTAAAATGTCATTTCTGAGAAATGCCATTTCAAACATTTGGGTAAACCTTATGAGGAAAGCATTTACTTATACTTCTAAATTATACCGTATAGATGCCGTTAGAGCATTCATTGCTGAATATTTTCCATTTAATGCGCACTTTGTTGAATTCGTTCTTCAATGAATAAAATTTCAATAAGTTTCCATGGTACCATACATAGCAGCCACATGAATTGGTCTCGCTTCTCTAAACGTCTGTGCATTCACATCGGCTCCATTCTCAATGATGATTTTTGCCAAATTTGCCCGACCTTCTTTTCAAACAAAAGATTCTTTTTAAATGTGAATAAATGTATTCATTACGTTTCGATTACAGTAAAACCTCCCAATAGTGGACTCGGTCCGGCCGAAAATTGTTTCCACTATCTCGAGGTTTCTCTTAAACAAAGGTTCCACTAGTGGGAGGTTTCACTATACCATAAGAAGAAGCCAAATGAAGGGGATTCCAATTAGTGATGTCTTCGTTAACATTATTTTTAAGAAGAACCTCCGTCACTTTTGCATCATCTGAAAGATCAGTTAAAGGGAAAGGTTTCGAAATTGAATTTTTGCTTCATAACTTATTACTAATAAAATGAAGTATACTGTTTATTGGCTAAATGATAAATGTGAATAAGTCTAATTGATCCATTGAGAATTTAAAAAAAATGCATGACAAATGCTGTCTTTATTTCCACTGGCTCAATTAACTTTAAACTGAAAAAAGTTCGTTAAATCTAAGTGAAATTCATTAATAAATTAAATGTTGGTACCATTTTTGATTGCCCAAAATAGCGCTGTTCTTTCTAAATAATCAGCAGCATTCACATCAGCACCATTTTCCACAAGAACTTTAACCACATCCGCATTGCCTGCACAGGAGAAATTGATGAGCAAATACACAAAGTTACAGAATGTACATGTGTACATTGAACACTGAACAGTCACATCTTTTTTATAGGAATTCATCGTTGATTACCATATCTCGAATGATCGAAAATGGACTGAGTAATACCCAGTGAGTATTTCAATTCACTAATCACAGATGTCACTTTTTTTTATGAAAACAAGGCATTATTTCTAAAACATTAAGAAAATAAAGAAAAGAGACCAGAATATTACCATTCTTAGCAGCTAAATGAAGAGGTGTCTCTTTATTGTAGATTTTCGCATTCACGTCGCCACCATTTTTGATTAAGAACCTTACGCTGTCCACACGACCTAAAATATGTTGATTAAATACACAAATTGGCCAAATTTTCAATAAGAATGCATTTTTGTCATGGTAAGCTGGGGAATAAATTTGGTTTTCACTAATAAGTAATTGATTTATTTAAATTACCGAGCTCGGCAGCTTCATGAAGAGGTGTATATCCATACATATATACGTCTTTGGTGTGTTTTATTGTTGCGAAAATTATTGCAAATAAACAAAAAATTCACATAATAATTGGGTAATTGAATCATATTTTTTCATTAAAAAATTAATTCATCTTGGTTTAAACGATGCATTTGGGGTGATTTTGACTAAAAAAAAACTCTTGAATCAAAATTAGTTCATGATTCGAAGGTAAATGCAGACATTCCGTTTGGCTGCATATTGAGCTGAGGAATTTTCAAATAGCTGGCTGTTTGGTTCATTTTGATTTTGTGACGAGTGAGCCATGCAAATTCATGTTGAATTTATGACACAAAAAATTCGTGAAAAGGATTGAAAAAGGTGTCACAAATTCAATATTCCACATAAATTTGAATGGCTCGCTCGTCACAAAATCAAAATGTACCAAACAGCCAGCTATTTGAAAATAGCTCAGCTCAATATGCAGCCAAAGGGAATGTCTGGGTAAATGCACAATAAAGGCACATGCCATCAAAATTTGATGATTTTCTTCTGATTCATTTAACTCAAAATCAATATCTCTCAAACAGTTAATCCAAAAGTAAATCTGCTAAACATTGTACCTGAATTTGATGTCGATACACTTGATGCGAATAAAACAATGATTGAAATTAACTTCCACATTTTGTTCATCTTGGAGAACCTTGAAAAAAAAGTTATTTTTCCTTCAAAAGTGAGCTGTCCTTTTTTAACAGATTAAAATTTTTGTTCTGCAACTTTTCGAAAAAAATCACTTCAATAAACTACATGAAAATGCGCTGCAGAGTAAAAACGTTTCTTCTTATCAAAGTATCAAGTGTATACTAGTGATGAAGTGTAAACAACAGAATGCTTTAGATGGAGAGTTTCACTGCGAATTCGAAACGTCGCTCTGAAAATAGAAATCCTTAAGAGCGTGGTCATTTATATTTTATTGGTCTGGTGTGCATTGGGTGCAATTGCATAAGTCGCATTAGGTCAGTTTATTACTGATGTTCATCAAACGAATTGAAATTGCATCGTTATAGCAATTGCTATCTCACAATCGTATGAATGGAATCATGTGCAGTTGGAAATTCAAGTTCAACTCAATCAGTGGTAAGAACGAATCGGTTGGACTAAAGCTTCACAAATAGAACAGATCAACTTATTAAGAGTGGTAAACATTGAATTAATAACATTCTGATTGTGTTTTGCCTTGACTTTATTTCACAATTTCTTCATTACAATGGAAGTTAATCGTTAATCGGTTGCAATTTCAATTTAGCCTTGATTCAGCATTTATTTTGACATTTTCCCTGACGTTTTGGCCAATGTGATCCGTATTCATTCTACAACGGCAAAGTTGATGAAACATGGAACAACACCAAAACGGTGCTCGCTAGTGCGATTTTTGCTTATCTTCAGCTTCTTGCAGCACTGTTACAATTTCGGGATTATCTATATTTGGACGATCATGAAGATGTTATTAGTTCGGTTTAAAAGGAATTTGAATGAAAAAAAGAGATTCCATCAAATTTACCATATTCAAATGCTAGTTCCAATGCTGATTTTCCATTCACATTTTTTGCATTGATGTCAGCGCCTTTTTGAAGCAAGAGCTTCACAACGTCGATTCTACCTAAATGATAATGGGGGTTTTGTATCAAATTTTGCATAAAAAATCAATGGCTTTTTATGATTCTGTAACTTTTCAATGATCATTAACCACGGCTTGGTATAATTTTTTCAATAGAAACGATTTAGATCAGTGAATGGTTTGAAATACACTAAATAAAGGATGATTTAAAGCCATTTTGGATGAAAAATCACAAGATCATTAGCAAAAGCATATGAAACACTGTAATGCGAGATCGATTTATGGATGCTGGTTTACCAACCATTGGCAGCGTTTGTATGGAGTGGTGTGTTTCCTTGATCGGTTTTTGCATTGATCTCCGCTCCATTTTTTATCAGAATATCCATTACATTCAGTTTTGAAGTTACATGAAGCGGTGTCACATCACCCTGCATTCGAGCATTTACATCGGCACCTTTTCCAATGAGAACTTTAACCACATCCGCAAAACCTGCGAAGAAAACGGTTAAGTATTATTAAAACAAAGACTTTGAAGTTTGAAAAGATATTATTAAACAAACTCAATAACCGTATACAGCCGCAATATGCAGAGGTGTAGTTTCTTTTAGACAGGCAGCATTAACATCACCTCCAAATTCAATTATAATTCTTGAAATATTGGCTCTGCCTGGCGAAAAAAATTCAATTAAAATCTTCCATTTTCTTCAAGGTTTTCATGTGTGAAACTAGGCGATTGTTTACCATTCGCAGCAGCCAGATGAAGCGGTTTCCATCCCATGTTCACAGCATTTAAGTCGACACCGTTCTTGAGCAAAATCGTCGCAACACTTATATCATCTGGAAAATAAAAACATCTTTTTTCAATCTAGAAAAACCAATGAGAATATTCGACGCCAAGTGCTATTTTGCATTTATTACCATTTTTAATACAATAGCTAAACGCTGTACGATTAAGATCATCAGCAGCATTAACATCGGCACCATTTTCGGCTAGGAGTTTGACCACATCTGCATTGCCATTTTTGGCGGCGATGTGCAGTGGCGTTTCTCCAGTATCACGTCTTGAATCAATATCGATGCCAGTTGAATTGATGAGAATTTTAATTATATCCGTTTTATCTGGAAGTTTATAAAATCCGTTAGAACTGCTTCATCATTGTCTTACAACTTTAAAGACAATAATTATGATTATTATTGAATAAAATTATTCAATTATAATTTCAGAACAATAATTGAAATAAAAATGTCTAAAATGCTTACTAAATTTTGTAGCCCAGTGAAGAGGTGTTAATCCATAAATATTCTTAGCATTCACATCGGAACCATTCGCAATGAGTAGTTTGGCTATGTCCACCTGGTCTAGAAAGTATTTCGATTATAAAATTTTGTTATGTTTGAGGCAATTTTAATGAGAGAAAAGAAACCACGATCACTTACTGAACCTAGATGATGTTTCCAATGGGAATTCAGTTGAAAAGAATATTGTTGATGAAATAAATCTCATGGATTCAATGAAAATGTAGTATGTAAAAATTATTGTATTTTTAACAAACCTACTAGCCCAATGGAGAGGGGTTTCTTCGTTCAAGTTCTTAGCATTTACATTAGCCCCATTCTGGATTAATGTTTTAGCTTCATTAACAAGACCTTCGTTGAAAGTAAAATTGGCCAAAAAAATATGATTGTTAATATGCAAATTCAAATGTGCAGAGGGTTGTAAGCGAAAAAGAATGGCCACTTTATTACTACGTACCATATTGTGTGACTTCATGAAGTTTTGTCGATCCAAAAATGTCTTCAACATCGAGTGGTTGCGTTCATTTAGAAATAATCATTAGTAAAACAGAGAAAATGTTTGAAAACGTAAGATTTATTTACCGGCACTCAATTGTGGAAGATTTAAGCCCAGGAAGAGAATTATCACAGAAAGAACCATTTTACCTAAGATATACCTCTATATAATAAAAAAAAAACAGTCAAGCTCAACTATTTTATTGTAGAACAGATGAAGTTCAAAAAGCTCTAAATACAATTTCCAACGACCTCTTTCCAATTTCATGGATTCTATGTCATAATTTACGTGTGCATGTGAAATCTCTGCCTTAATATACTTCGAACAATTTATACTTTATGCACAGACCAACTGCGTTAACCAAATTGAGATTGGCTGGCTATTTGGTTGCATGAACATTGGACCAAGCCACATGAAACTAGAACGATCTGCAATGAACTTAAATTGACCTAGTCTCACAAATAAATGAACACGAGCTAGGGAACCACATTCTAATTCAACTCAATCAATGGATTTATTTTTTCACACAGAGAAAAGATTCGCTCTATTGCATCCGTCAACTACGCAGAGTGTCGATGGCATGAAATTTTTTCAACACATTGAAAGATGTTAAGCGAAATCTTTTCGTCGTATTCTTTTGACTTTTGAAATTGATTTTTTATTCGCTTATTTCACTAATTACATTTTAATCCAAATATTTATTGTGAATGTCAAGATATTTCTCATAAAAATAACGGAATATATTCCGTTATAACGCGAAATGAAATACATGTATTTTATGTGGATTTATTCGATTCAGCCGGTTGAATTTGAAATGAACCAACTGTTAAATTTGATCCCACACCTTATTTACAAATCACACGGAAGAACTTTTTTGAACAGAGAAACCAATTTTTGCTTCTAGATGACATGAAGTATTTAGTTGTACACATTTTTATCAGTTTCACATCAAATTCAAAGTGCATTAACGAATGAAAATACCTTACTTGAAAATTGTTTATTTATATGAATATATTTGATTTTTCTCCTCCTTTTTTCAGATTCTTCCAAACTTTAAATAGTGAATATTAAAAGAGACCACAGTCGACTGGATGGTTTATACTGAATGAAGGTTCCACTGTAACTGTATCGCTGGATTTGATTAGCACTTGCTTAATGCACTGATTGAATCAATTGGCAAAGCCCTAATTTTGCTTGTTTATCGCACGTGAACAGTAGAAACGACCGCCTCTCAGTGCGAATGCTTCATATCTTCATTGCATTCGCTATGTATACATAGCGCATTACCTAAAATATATTATCGTATCGTACAACCTTATGCTCTCTATGTGTAACATTAATTCGGCGGTGACACAATTTTGAATGAGTTAAAAGCAAAGTAAAAAAAATGAACGATGAGATTTTTTTCTTTCAACATTTTATTTTTTATATTTTGTCTTATGTTGATTCAGCTCGCAGTTACAAATTATAAGATATATTCGTATTAAAGGACCAATTCTGTTATCTTTATAGACATTTTACTCAATTCGATGCGTTCAATATACAGGTGAGCGGAGTAAGAGAGTATAATTCATACTCCTACTCCTACTCCCATACAAACGAAAAATGAATATGTCTCGACATACTCTCATACTCATAGATACTCTTTGAGTATGAGAGTATATACTCAGAGTATATACTCTTTGATTTTGCGAGCGGCTTCAAAACAGCTTGTAATACGAGTAAAAATTGCACATAATGATTGTGAGCGAAACAGCATAAGATTTTGGCGCTCGATTGTCTTCCATATAGGCCAATTCAATTGAATATAATATTATTAAATATTTACGCATGGAAATATCTCGAAAACGGCTGGGTAAATCGGCAAAACGGACCGTGGTGTCACTCCCGAAGGGAGTGTTAACACCCGGCTGGTTTAACGGCCTAGAATACAAATCCGGTGGAATTTCAGCTGATCGATGGATTCTCAGGAAAGAGTATCTATGAGTATGAGAGTATGTCGAGACATACTCATTTTCAAAATGAGTGAGTATGAGAGTATATACTCGCGAATTGGCCCACCTGTAGTTCAATATCAATCAAATGAGAGTGGTTGGCGTATACATTTTTGGTTGCTATTTATGTGCTCTACTAGATGAATATTCAAATCTTAAAAAATTTGCCGGATTGACTTCGGGTAAGGCGATTTCAATTGTACATTTTATGTAGTTTAATGTAGTGGTTTTACTTTTTTTTTGTAGGAACAATTTTTTTGAGTAATCGGCTGTCGAAAAACTGCTATGGAACAACTCAACTCTTGGTCAAAAAACGTATTTTCCACAAATCGAATTTTTTTTCGAATGAAGAATGGTTTCAAAAAATTGAAGATAAATTGTAGAATTCAAATCAGTCATCCGAGTCTTGATAATTTCAACACCAGTATGGAAAGTCATGCAAGTTGATCGTGGTGGTATTGATATCATAACTAAGCAATGGCTCAT